AGTCAGGGGCTCGGATAGGCCTAAACTTGCTTTCAACACTAACGTCATACCGGAATTTGACCCTTTGTCGAAAGATCAAACCATTTTAACTTGGATAAACAAAGTAGAAGAGTGTGCTGAAATTTATAGCTGGGATGAGAAAGAAATTATCCATTATTCATTGCCTAAGCTTAGTGGTGTTGCCAAAACCTGGTTTCAAGGATTACCTTCACTATTATATACATGGCCCGAATGGAAAAAAAGTTATTAGAATCATTCCCCTGTCGCGAAGACTATGCCGAGCTTCTGACTGAAATGTTATCTAAGAAAGTAAAATACGGCGAGTCGCTGGAACACTACTACTATGCAAAGATCAATTTATTAAACCGTTGTAAAATTTTCGGTAGACAAGCTGTGGACTGCCTTCTTTACGGTGTTGAGGATCGTGCTATAAAAGTGGGGGCTCAGGCTGCTCATTTTTCCGAGCCTGAGCAGGTTCTTAAATATTTTAAGACGGTTAAAACAAGTCAATCCCGGCCAAACTTCGACGCCCCTGTACAAAAATATAGCGATCGTAAGGTTTTGCTAGCGTCAAACCGACCCGGAGCGTCTAAATCTAATTCATTTAATAATAATATTAGGTGTTTTAACTGTAGCGAAATAGGGCATCCTAGTTTTAGGTGCGATAAGCCTCTCATAAAGTGCACGATTTGTGAAAGAATAGGTCATAAGTCAAACGATTGTTATAGAAACAAATTTGCATCTGAGTCAGGAAATAACAGGATTAGAACTTCTAATGATTCTAAAGATGAGAAACACGTAGCGAAAGTAACTTTAGGTGACTGCCCATGTGATAAATATATAATCATCATAAAAGTTAACGGATTTTCTACAACCTGTTACGTTGACTTGGGGAGTCAATGTTCTTTAGTTAGGTTAAGTGATGCAGAAACTATGGGACTCGACATTAATTCCCAAACTAAGTTGCCTGTACTAAAAGGGATAGGGTCTAACTTAGTAAGACCATTAGGCGTAGCGCTAGCCTCCGTAACAGTGCAAGGCTTAACGGAGGATATAGAACTTTACATAGTTGACGATTACGTTCTTAATCACCCAGTTTTGTTGGGGCACTCATTTACAGAAAAATCTGATATTTTGATTATCAAAACTCCTAGTAAATTAATCTTCCAAAGGATAACTCATAACAAAATTCGTTTATTAACCGAAAACATCGCCAATATTCCTAGTAATGCATTGCAAACGGTGGAAGTATGTGCCAATACGGACATTGATTGTAACATTTGCGTTATCGGATCGCTACGTGGTTCAGCTGGAAAAGAGTTTTATATTCTACCTGGAGAATACGAAATCAAGAATGGTCGAGGTGTTCTCTTAATATGTAATATATCAACAAATGATATATGCATAGGAAAGAATTCACTTTTAACACGTGCCCTACAGAAACATTTAATGCCTACGGGTTCTACAGCTCACGTATTGGATACGTATAAAGTCACCCTTGATTCAACTGGAATAGATGAAACAATTAACTGTAGTTCTCAACTTACCAATGAACAAACACTTGAGTTACAGAGATTACTTTCGAAATACAAAGAATGTTTCTCAAATGGACTTTATGATCTCGGGTTTACAAATGCTACGGAAATGGTAATTGAGTTGGAAAACTCTGAACCAGTCGTTTACCGTCCCTACCGCATGTCTTATACTGAGCGACAACTAGTAAGGGACATGATAAAAGAGATGGCCGACAGTGGAATCATAAGAGAGTCTTCATCGCCCTATGCCAGCCCAATTGTATTGGTACAAAAGAAGACTGGTGAGAAACGGCTATGTGTCGACTACAGGGCTCTTAACAGAAAGACGAAGAAAACTCATTATCCATTACCTCGAATCGAAGATCAATTAGATTTACTAGCAGGTAATACTTTATTTACATCATTGGATTTGGCTTCTGGCTATTACCAGATACCAATTTCTGAAGAATCTCGAAGCAAGACTGCTTTTGTAACGCCCGATGGGCAGTATGAATTTAATCGTATGCCGTTTGGGTTGGTAAATGCACCATCTGTGTTTCAACGCACCATCAACAAAATACTTATGGAGGCTAAAATCAAGTATGCCATTGTATACATGGATGATGTGCTTATCCCGTCTAAAACCTTTGACGAAGGCATTGTTAGACTAGAAGAAGTACTCAAACTCTTGAAGAGAGGAGGTCTAACCCTCAAGTTAAGTAAATGCAATTTCTTCTATGAAACTATTGACTTTTTAGGATTTGAAGTAAGTGCTAATGGAATCCGCCCAGGCAGTAGGAAAACAGACGCTGTCTCAAAATTTCCGAAACCTCGCAACCAACATGAATTAAGACAGTTCCTTGGGTTATCTGGATTTTTTTAGGCGTTTTATCAAAGGTTATGCTACAATCACGGCATCATTGACTAGCCTTTTAAAGAAGGACTCTTGCTGGACATGGGGACCAAGCCAAGAAGAGTCCTTTTTAAAAATTAAGGAAATACTAGTCAACCGCCCATTGCTAGCTCTTTATGACCCTTGTGCAGAAACAGAACTTCACACAGACGCAAGTAAGGAAGGTGTGGCAGGAATATTACTGCAGCGAAATTCAAAGAACACATTACAGCCCATATCTTATTTTAGTAGGAAAACAAATGCACACGAGCGTCAACTTCACTCATTCGAACTCGAAACTTTAGCAGTGGTTGCGTCATTGAATCGCTTTAGAGTCTATCTTATAGGAATACACTTTAAAATTGTAACTGATTGTAACGCCCTTAGATCCACTCTGACTAAACGAGATTTAGTAGCTCGTATTGCGCGCTGGTGGATCCAGCTACAAGAATACGACTGCACGATTGAATATCGACCAGGCGCCCGAATGTCTCATGCAGATGCGCTTAGTAGAAACCCGGTGGACTGTTCGTCTGAAGGTATTGCAGATGACCGGCTAATATGGGATGTGTTGGCGATACAGCAAAGTCATTCGGACTGGATAGTTACCGTGCAATCTGCTGATGACGAAATAAAGAAAATAAAGCACATATTAACGGACTCCAAGGCAGACCAATATGTAGACATAATTAAAAACTACAAACTTAAAAATGAGCGCGTCTATCGAATTGTTGGCGATTCACTAAGATGGGTAGTACCTAAGGGAGTACGTTGGCAAATACTCAAAATGAACCACGACGACATCGGGCATTGTGGTTTTGAAAAAAACATTGAAACGAATCCAAGAACATTATTGGTTCGCTAAAATGCGCCGCTTTGTAAAAAAATATGTGACGTCTTGTCTCGAGTGCGCACATCACAAAGCGCCGGGAGGAAAACGTGAAGGAGAGTTACATACAATAAATAAGGTCAGTATTCCCTTCCACACAGTCCACGCAGATCACTTAGGACCCTTTGTGAAAAGTAAGAAAGGGAATAGCTATTTGTTAGTTTTGATTGATGGCTTTACAAAATATATTAACATTACTCCTGTTAAGAATACAAAGTCCTTGACAAGCATACAAGTTATTAAAAACCACATAAGTTACTTCGGCGTACCCACGAGACTAATCACCGATAAGGGAACTAGCTTCACGAGTAAAATTTTTCAGGATTTTATTATGTCTTATGGTATCAAACACATCACAAATGCCGTTGCTACTCCAAGAGCTAACGGTCAAGTAGAACGTTTTAATAGGACCATTTTAGATGCTTTATCGGCATCTGGACATGGTAAAGACGATAAATCTTGGGACAATTATGTACAGGATATTCAAGTCGGTATAAATACAACTAAGCATAAAACTACACAAAGGTCCCCATCTGAGTTACTTTTTGGATTTAATATAACCGGTAAATCAGAAGGCATCCTAAGCTCTGTTATCAATGACACATTAAATGGAACTCCATTAGAAAAGTTAGACGAACTTAGGCAAGATGCTAGTACAAAAATTAAAGCACAACAAATTGAAGATGCAAAAAGATTTAATGAACGTAGAAAGCCCGCAACTAAATACAATGAAGGTGACTTAATACGTTTAGAAAAGCAAGTCCCACACGACGGAAAATCACAAAAACTTGTAATTAAATTTCAAGGCCCGTATCGCATAGTAAAAGTGCTACCAAATGACAGATTTCTAGTTGAAGATACGCCGCTTACCCGTAAAAACAGTAGAAAATATGAAGCTATAGTGTCAATTGACAAAATTCATCCGTGGATGAATTTCAATAGAGATTTTGAGTCTGATTCAACTGATAATAATACAGTTGACACTGAATAGTTAAAATTAGATATTCATTGGTTATATTATACAAACATAAAAAAAAAGATAACTGTGCATTTAATACCAATTATAGATTTTATGACGGAAGGTCAATTTTAAATTTTCATTTTATTATTTTGATTAATATTGTATTTATATCTATCATGCTTAGTCTAGTTTAGGATATGTTAAATGTAATTAAAAAAAAAAAAATGTAATTTCGTTACTTTCTTTTATACTTGCGGGGTTTTTTTTTTAAGTGTAGAAGCGATGGGACTCGCTTTGAGTAGGATGGCCGAGCTGTTAGGTTAATAATTGCTATTGTTAGATTAATAACCACTATATTATTGTTTATAACGGAATTACTCGATAAGTGATTTGACTTTATATTATAATAATTATTAGTTACTTACATTAATGATTGCGGATAATGGATAGAGTAATATAATGTAACCGGAAGGATAATGTTTTGATTGCTGTAAAAGAGTGGGGCGGAAATGACGCCGCCCCACCTTGCTAACAAGTGCTAAAGGTTGATTAGTAAATTGGGAGGGGCATTCGCTCAACGCTTGTCGCCACAGTTAGACGTGAAGTCAAATTGAATTGTGTACAAGATAAATTGTGAAGTAAAATAAAGTGTGAAGTGAAATAAAGTGTAATAGTTGGAAAAACCGTTTTATTTTCTACCTAGTCTCGAATAGTATAACACAAATAATTTGAAGTAACCGAATAATGATGGAGGACGGAGAAAATGAAGAGTTATTTTTAGAGAATGTTGATATTAACGATGACGTGGTAACTTTAAGAGATCTATTTGAAAGGCGAAAAATATTGTTGCGAAAAAAGAAGGAAATATTGAATAAACAATATTATGCAAATAAACTTGCTGCAGAAAATCAGCAACAAGAACTAGTTTCCGTTCCTTTGTCAGGGGAATTAGAGCAAGAACCTCCGAACCAAAATTTGACATCCGAATTGACTACGCTTACAACAATATTGGATACTACTACAACACAGAATAGAGATGAGAATATTACTTCTATTGATGTAAACATTAATATAGTGGAGCCTAATAAAAATGACCTTGAATTTTCGTCCGATGATTCAGTCACTGATCCTTCATTTATCGCCCTCTCAGACATAACAAATTTAAAGCCACTATCACCAGCAAATACGGAGTGGTTTCCCGAAAGGGAAATAGAAAATACGGCGAAGAAAAATGGAAGAAAGCGGAAAGGGAATCCTAATAACTGGAAAAGAATAATAAATAAGGGGCAAAGGATGATGGGCGAGGAATACATTGGATTTAAAAAAGATGGCACTAAATTCGTTCAAAATGATCCTAAACCCGCCAGAATAATGGGTCCAATATGTATGTCGAAGAGATGTTTCAGTGGTAAAGCTATGTATTGCCCAAAGCTAACAGAAGAAGTGCGGTCAGAAATTTTTAAAACCTATTGGAAAATGAGTTGGCATGAAAAGAAAATGTATATAGCTTCAATGGTGGATAAGACACCTACAACTAGAAAAACTAAGAACTCAAATTCAAGGCGCAGTGACACCAAAGTTTACTATTTAAAAGTAAACGATAAAAAGGAAAGAGTTTGCTTAAAAACATTTTTGGAAACATTGGGCATAAAAGAATGGACAGTTCGATATTGGCTAGGAAAGAAGACGACTATCGACAATGAATCTGAACCAAGTGCTGTAGTAGCCACAGAAACAAAAAAAGAATCAGCCAGAAAATACTTGATGGCGCTACCGAAACTACCGTCTCATTACTGTAGACAATCTACTTCAAAGCTATATTTAGAACCCATCATATAAACAAAATCACAATTGTATCGTCTATATGTAGACTACTCAGTTTCGCGAAATGAACCTGTGGCCTCTAGGAAGGTATTTGAAGGGGTTTTATTCGAAGAGAACATCAGTCTATTTCAACCAAAGAAAGACGCATGCGACCAGTGCTGCGCTCACAAAGCAGGTAACATGTCAGATGAGCAGTATATAAAACATATTGAGCTAAAAGACTTAGCTAGAATTGAAAAAACCCTTGACAAAGAAGCAGCACGGAAAGGGACGATACATGCATTAACAGCAGATCTTCAAGCAGTCAAATTGTGTCCTTCACTCAACGCCAGTGCACTATATTTTAAGACAAAACTTGCCGTCCACAACTTTACAATTTACAACCTGGGAACTAATGGAGTCGCGTGTTACTGGTTCGACGAGACGGCATGCGACTTAAAAGCTACTACATACGCATCATTTCTTGTAGATTATTTAACTAAATTACTGGAAAATGATCCAAAGGATGTAGTATTGTTCACAGATGCTGCACAGCCCAGAATAGGAATAATATTGTGTCGAATGCGTTGTTGCGTTTGGCCATGGCCAAGAACATAGTTATAACTCAAAAATACTTGGAAAAGGGCCACACTCAGATGGAAGTCGATTCGGTGCACTCGGTGATCGAAAGAAAATTGAAAAATCGAGAAATATTTCTACCCTCACAATACGCAACAATCACGAAGGAGGCCAGAAAAGTGCCGAGTCCTTACCAGGTTATTACTCCTGATCATACATTTTTTAAAAACTTTGCTCATAAAGATCACCTCATTTATGATTCAATAAGACCTGGTCGTGGGGCGGGTGATCGTGTCGTCATGGACATAAGGGCCCTAAGATACAGTCCTAGTGGGACAATTGATTTTAAACTCCACTTTGTAGACGATTTTGTTCCTTTACCTAGGATACCAAAAAAGATATTATCTGACTCTTTAATTGATTGCGTAGGTCCATTGTATGAATCCAGACAACCAATATCCAAAACAAAGTATGATCACCTACAGGAATTGAAGAGTGTCATACCTAAAGACTGTCATAGTTTTTATGATAATTTACCTTTTAAATAATATTCCTAATAACCAAGATCTTAAATGCTGTGATTATTAATCGTTTTAATGAGAATTTAAGAACTAAGATAATAGAAGTACTTCTACGTCTAAGATAATAAGAATATAAGAGCATCCAGGTGTAATGATTGCCATATTTAATTGTTAAAGCTTTTAATAAAAAAAAATCGTATTTGTCCAAGAAACTAATTAACAAAGATTGAAATGCTGGGATTTTAGAAGATCGAGGAGGCTGATTAGTTTATTATTCTTAATTAAGTGAACGTAATTGTTTTATTGTAATTAGAGAAATTCAGGGATTGTGTGATTAAATTGATATCTAGAGTAAGAGTTATTGTTTTTTTTTCTAAGAAGATGTATAATTTTGTATGTTTTTTTCTACTATAATATATCATAATAAATTCAAATTAATAATATAATATGTATTTTATTTTAAGCCCGCGTATCTCCTAAAAGTATAGTATTTAAATGTAATTTGCTGGTACAAAACCGCGTAAGTGACTTTACACGAAATCTAAACAAGTTTCTAGTACATTTACGTTAAATTTCTATAAAATAAGTAACAAAGAAGCTGCTATAAAGTTCAGTCGGTAATATAATTATAAATTACCAAGTTATTAAGTTTTTTCTTCTTCCTGTAAAATTCTAAAAATGTAGATACGCGGTATTTACAAACTGCTCTTCCGCGGTTTTGCACGCGCAACGACGATATAGCTGATGTGAAGAATCGACGCTCCGGGAAGTCTGCAGTCTGTGAACACGTACAGGATCGCCCCCGTCACTACATCAGATTTGATAGACCGCAAATCCTCGCTAAAGAACACCGATTCCTTCCAAGGATGATTCGCGAGGCTATTGAAATCAAAAAACATCCTAATTTCAATAGAGAAGATGGCTGGGTGCTACCATCTGCTTGGGACCCTATAATAAATAAAATCACATCCCAACCCAAGCATACAACTGCAAGACTTCAAGATACCATAAGTTCATACTGCATAGATCGGAATTCGGAACAAAATTTAAATTTTAATCTATGGTAACCGTGGTTAACTATGACATATGGACGTTGAACATCTCAGTCCCGCCCGTGACCATGAGTGCTGTAAAGCGTTCGAAACGTCGGGTATTTAAAAAGTTAAATATACGCGATAAATTCCGTAAAAACTAGTATTATTTCAATGTGTAGTGTTCGCGTAAATATAAGAGACTACAGACTTCATTTGGCACGATCCTGACACACCTCTCTCGCCTCCTTAATCCATATACCTACGCATACGTGCTCGTCGGTTAAGGGTATTCCTAATTTAGCCCGTTTTCAATAAATCGCCAATTTGGTCGATAAATTTTCGCTTAGGACGTCCCTTTCCGACTCTGCCATTCACTTCATCCATTTTATCATTCATTGCTCCACATACATTCAACGAAGCCAGACGGGCCTCTGCAATCCACTTTTCGCCCCTCCGGGAGACAGAACGTGACGGGTGGCGAACCTCGTAGCCGGTTTTCCTCCCGGAGATTCTTCGCACCCCTGCCCCATTAAAGGGGCGCCGGGAACTCGGGGCCATTTCTTTTGTTTGGTTCCTCATGGTGCGAAATATTGGGTAGTATATTTTACGCCGCTACCACGACGAGGAGCCGAGTCTGTGCCTTCGGCTTGTCGCTCATTTAGCACCACCCGGGGGACACGTGTAGGGTGGGCCTAGGATTAGGTGGTCAAAGCCTACGGACGCGAGATTTAAAAATAAAAATAAACAATATGCAACCACATGTTTTAAATGGTGTTTCAAAAAACTTGGTCTATAATATGAATTTTTATCTAGACACTAGCTGGTACCCGGGGCGTTGCAACGGCAGGGTAAATAATTGTGGAAATATAATTTGAACTTTGGAAAAGTTATATTGTTTAATTGGGAATGGATAATACATTCATTGAAGTTGATTGATATATAACTTATAAATAAATTTGTTAATACGATAATGGCGATGCGATACCTACTGTAAGTTAATTGTACTATGCCTATAGTCTTCGCGGAAGTGCAAGAAATATGTCGATAAAGTTTTACCCCAATCTGATGAACAGTATAGCAACGCATAAAATACGAACAAACAAACATAAATTTTTATATATTAGATTATTTTTCAAACTAATTATGGCTATGTATTACATTTCAGATCTTTGTTAGGTTTAGATGTAGATCTTAGCTCGATTACAGGCGACCATCCCGTATCTCTGAATGAAAACATTTATCATTATCTTCTAAATTCAGAACTGAACTTACAAAATGAGCCAGAACTATTTGCGAATGATTATGACCAGAAATTAGAACACAACGCAAATGGTGGTGATGGTTTCATGTACGTTCTTGATGATGGAACACAGATACGCGCTTCTCAAATACATTTTGACAACGAAGATCCGCCTTTAGACTTAACAGCAGAAAAAATACCATTTGTTAAATACTCAAATGACATCGATGAGAATGAGGATGATGATCTAAACATTGAAAATACTAAAAAAATTAATATTATTGAAAGTCCAGTAACACGTTGGTCGAGTGGAAACTCTAGTCCTAAATGCAGCTTCGTTAATAGTTTACCCTTTAGACTTGTTTGTTCGAACACGTCTAATTTTGAAGCCCAGTTTTCTAAATATTTAGAATCAAGTTCATCAAAAACTTATGCAACGTTAAATCCAGTTGCTAATAGCAATAGGTCCCCGAGAAGTTTAATTAAGGACAATTATAAAAACTATGAAGATAACTTTCAGACTCAGTGTCGCAAAGATGATTTCACAAATTTTACACGCGAAGAAATTCTTAATATGTTTAAAGACTCTCCTGTTACATCCCTACCTTACGAAGAAAATCAAAATAATAACGAAAAAAGACGTCATGTGCGTAAAACTGATCCTTCTCGGTTACACAAAAATTGGCATAATAAGCCTGTACCCTACATAGATATAAAACCTGAGGAGAAAAATGGACAAAATTGTTTTATTTGCGGAAAGATTGACAATACCGTGGAAAAATCATATTTGTTTGATAATGAAGATCAAAAATTACACAGATGTTCTTCGCCTAAGAAATATCCAACTCAACTTAAAATTATATGCGACCAGTGTTTAGCAACATATTTTAAACCGTGTGACATGAAAAGTCCTACACAATCCCTTAGATCCAATGAATATCTTGTCATTAAAAATAATCAACAGTACATCTTCGAAAAAGTAAATAACTTCCAAGTGATCCAGGATTCAATAATTATAGATGTAGAATCGCCCAAGGATCCTCAAGAAAGTGATAAACTTGAATTCGTAAAGGTCGAAATAGGTTCTGATGGAGAAATAGTAACAAAATGTATTGATAACGACACTAGATTTTCCGATGACGTTAACATTATAAAAGATGAGATAAAGGATGGTTCTAGTGATGTTGAAATCATAGAGCGTGAAGCAGATATAGATGATAACATAATAGACAATTTGGAAGAAGCTGACGAGGACGTTAAAGAATTTTTGGGAATTTATCAGTATGACAATAATGATAAAATAAAAGAATTAAAATGCAGGTGTGTTAAGGATTATTACAAACGTACAGCTTTTTGTCCTTCATCATTTTTTTTTGTCTATGATTTTTCTGTTATCAATCCTTTGCGTTCCAACTTTTGCCACAACTTGAAAATTTGTTTACAGGTTTTGTGATCGTATTTTTGAAGAAATTGCCAAGGTGATAGAACATGGTGAAGAGCACAAACATAATTTAGACGATGGAGAAGTATTTCCGTGTCCGCTATGCGATTACGGTATATACAGACAAAATTGCACATTAAATACATGTTTGTTCCATATTATATTGGGAATTAGTATCCTCTTTCAAAGAAGAAATATATTATAACGAGTAAGGTGAAAGTAATTACTAGTCTTAAAGCCTTATTGCTTTAACTATATTTAAAAAAACAGTGGTTTTTGGCTTTTTCGGGAATGCCCACTCTATCCACTCAAATATCACAAATATCCACTAGTTACTTGAAAGATTGACTCCTAATTCTCTAATCTAATCTAATCCTCACCTTGTCAGGTAGGCTAAAAAGCTTATTTAGCTGTAGGCCCTAATGTTCTTTTGTTTTTTGCCAGCTGCACCGTAATAAAGTTCAAAATTTTTAATTGTGTACTTTTTTAGGTTACGCTAATTTTAAATGGCTCAAAGGGCATCTCAAGGCGGTTCATGATAAGGTGAAAACGTCTGAAAATAACGACGATAAAGGGCAAGCAGGTGAGCTCAAGCAATCTTTGACTGATATTCTTGCTCTCTGCTCTGAAATTTTATGAGCTTATGACGACTACATTGGTTAACAAGTCGGCCCTAATCCAACTAAATCGTTTTTGGGTTCAGATCCTTATATTTTAATGTCCTCTTTTGTTTGATACTGTCTCAACGTCATAGTCTACCTCCAGCCTTATCGAACAAGAATTATTTCATTCTTTTAATAAAAAAGTAAGAATGATAAAGGAGCACACAGTCGATCTGGTGTTAAGTAGCTGCGTTATCTAGACTCTGTTCACGATTAGGAATCAAATTACAAATGCTTTGTCACCTGAGCAATAGAATAGAATGCCTCGTTACCAGTAAAGAGGATCTTCAGTTGTCTTCACTCACCACACGAAACAGCAGCATTATGCTGCTATTCGACGCTAATGCTTCGGCGAGCGTGAGCTTCCAGGTCTTATGGGTCAATTCATGCTGTATTATCACCCGACACAGATAATTTAGGAAGAGTGAGTTCCTCTTTGTTTCTGTCTATAATTGCATCACAATATTATTTTTCGCCTTGTAATGGCGGTAGCGTAAAAGATTTCACTACCGACGGCAATGAAACACGATATGGTCAGCTGTGATTTTAGATAGCATATCGAGCGTGGCAACACGAGTAACTATTGCAAAGATCCACCCTGTGAAGTATTATATTGGGGAGGCGTTTGTCAACAGTGGGCTTTTGATAGGCCGTAATATATAAATCAATGAAGAAAGAATATTTAAGGTGGGTGGACCATGGAAGGCCATGCTCCGTCGAAGGCCAACTATTGAAATGTCGTAGTTATTGCCATGTGATGACAAATTCCTTCTACTTATACATACACCCATCGAACTGAAAATCACTGACGCGGCGGCGAATCGCTCGCGCTACTATTTTGGCGGTACGGTCCCTCGCTTCATTCATTTCGCGAATCGACGACGTTAAAATAAGGTGGGTGAACCATGGAAGGCCACTCTTACAATTAAACAGTTATTATTCGTTCATTTACTGGATAAATGAAACTCACAAATATTTAAGTAATACTTTGTTTTATTACGTAACATTTTACTTGTTAGAGTGGCCTTCCATGCCACCTTATGTTTAAGATTTCGCATTGGTTGAATGTGGAAATTATCAGGTTTTTTAAGCACTGATTTTTGAATCGCCTAATAAAAGTTTTTCATCAAAAATATTATAAACTATTTATTCAACTATTTTCTGTAATTTATGTTGCATTGTACTAGTATTCTATAAATAAAAGTTATTTATCTGATGATTGTAAAATTAACACTAATAAGTGTAAGAATTTTAAGGCTTTTTGCGTATATTTGTGCTTTGGCTAAAACAGTACAAATAACATGTAATTAATGATGTACCTAACTGAGATGGCTTCATATAACTTGCTATCCCTGGCAACAGACGCTTGCCAGATAGTGTAGTCGGTTGTTCTATTTAAATAGACACCAGTGCCATATCTATATAGGTACATACAGCCATGGCATCCCAGTCAGGTACGACACGTAAATATTATTTTTAGAATCTATTTTTTAACGACATATGACTTTAATCATACTACTTTAGACAATTCTGCAACATCACCGAAATCTTCGCCAGTCGCCAAGAGAACTAGAAGTGCAATAAAAAAGGTCGAAACTGAAAACGAAAAAGGTCCACTCATTTTTTATGTTATTGTATCTACATAATATAATACCTGTAAAAATACAAAGCCGTGTGAATGCCGCGGCGAAAAGAATCTATCGCCTCACTTGGTCCCGTGGATGTCGTAAGTGGTGACTATGGCGAAAGGCCAACAAAGAGTTTTTGGCCTCCGTTACATTTTTACGTGGTAAAGCCACGCTGCAGCTATATTATGGTTGTGGCACGAATAGCTCGGCTCGACGGCAGGACCACACAGAACACTAGTGTTTCGTATGGTGAGCGTAGAGAACCGTAGACCCGTTTTACTGTAATCTGTATCTGTGATCGAGGCATTCCATTATAGTCCTTAGGGGTGAAACGCGTCTGCATTATGATACAAGCTCGTTCGTCCTCTAGTCCGAATTTCGGTCACGGCAGCCAGCCTCAACGGAGACTAGCCATCAGCGCAGGACAGGATTACAGTGCCCAAGTGTATGTGCAAGCACAGGTGTACTTTCTGTTCCATCACTTATAGTCAGATGGGACGGTAAACCGACACGACCGGAGAGAGATCAGGCGCAAGACCAACGGCTTTACGTACTTTCCGAGGTAGGGTGTGAGACACCGCCAACTTCCCGACTCCGGGCAGCTACTGAGAATTCCTTAACGGGAAAACTAAACAACTGATTCTTTTGTTATTGTCAATTCGTCTACCAAGCGTGGTGATTATGGAAAATCCCTCTTACAATGGTAGAGTAGAGACCCAAATACCAAGCAGTAAAGAGTTATGTTATAAATTACAGCCTTCATACGTCCCACTGCCGGGCACAGGCCTTCCCTCATTTTTGAGTGGGGATTAGGGCACGGAAGTGTCCGCCGCGCCGCCCCAGTGCTTGTTGGCGAACTTCACATGTCTTCACATTTTTTTTCTCTTATTTCTCAGACATGCAGGTTTCCTCACGATGTTTTCCTTCGCCGCCGAGCACGTGGTAAATCAGCACTTGAAATTGCAATTAACAATTTTATTGGTGCCGGCGGCAATCTGATCCGGTTTGCTCGCGTACTGTGAAATTTACAGCGAGCGCTAACCATCTGAGCTACCACGGCTCGAAAGAGTTATGTACATACTAATAGGGAAAAGAAAAAGAACAAAAATACAATGAAATTATTATTTCTTGTATTTTTACTAAATTATTTATTTATACGGAAAACCAGATCTGTACTATTAAACGTGTAATGGCGACCGATGTAAGAATATCCACAATCCCTAAATATAGTCCCGTAGGTGTCGCAAGAGCCGACAGAGAAAAACTGATACGGAAAATGAGCAACAGCATCTTCATGGTTACAACTCAAAGTTATAAAAAACTGCGCATGTCAACCCACTTGCTAAGCGTGGTATTTATGGCAAAACCCTCCCTATACTTATGCTTATGTTCAGCAGTAGACTTTTATAGGCTGTTATGTACGAATAGATGTCGCGTGAACCAGTAACCACGTCCGCTATAATGCACTTAAAACAACGGCATAAAAATAAACGAGATTAAATCCGTAATATTTAGTTTTATTCTTATAACATTATATCCAGGGCTCAAACTAAGTCCTTACTTCATTGAAACTCGTTTATTAACGTGGTTTTTACCATTATTTTTAAATGAGACTTGAACCCCGAGTCTTACTGATGGCTTCATTACTACGAGTATACCTGCTTACGGCTTAACCTTAAGTTCCCGTTATTTAGATAATTTAAAGGAAATGGATATTCTTTATAAAATATAAAATTAATTGGTCCTTAATATTATAGAGATCCCGGACAAGACTGCGGAGTGTACAAACAATTTTACCACGAAACTTGAATCCGTTAGTATTTACTTTGTGAAATATATATAAAATAGAGATTTTAGTATAGATCTAATCAATAGTATGTAGATTGTAGATCCACTTTAGTAGAAATTAAGAAAGAATGAACACCTTATTTGACATCACAAAGAAAAAAAAAATAACACGAGATATTTAAAAAAAAGCGGGATTTGTGTGAAGTCAAATTAGGTCCCTATTTTAGTCTAAATGACAGCAGTGCTGATTTTCAAATAAAGCCTAATTTTGACTTCACGAAGTATTGACTCATAATGTAAAATAACAGATTTTGCATAAAAATGTATTGCATATATTGTACCTAAGGTTAACCTAAAAATGAAATTTTCATTTTCCAAGTTTCCAATTTTATCTGGTATCATCCTTCAGTAAATTGATTTTTTTTTCTAACGCAGAGGAAACCTCTATCGCCCAGTTAGTGTTTTATTTATTTGTAAAGCTTCATGTATTACAAGTAACTTGCTTATATATACTCGTAAGTTAGTATATGTATTTAAGCAGTAAGTAGTTATTTGATTGCTTGACTGTAAGATTGTTTACGAAAAGTAACAACAATAGCTTTCTTAAGGAGTCTAATTAAACCATGTAAAAGCTGTTTCTTTTTTCCAATCTATCTCGTAAAAGCATATTCCTCTAAGATCGCAGAGCCAATAAGTAGTTGCGAATTTATTTTGGCCTGTTTAATAAATTATTTGTTTCTTATACCTGGATACGCGAAGCGTTACGCTATTTCAGTTCTGGGAAACAGTAGAAGTCGTATGCTAAACTTTTGTTTACTCTTTGATAAAGTCCAAGGGCGCGAGGCGAAACGTAGAAAATTTGCGGTCATCTAAATTTTCGGTCCTCAAAATTTGCAGATGATGGAGTGAAAGCTCTATGATCTAGCTATTTTACTCTAAAAACAGAAAGGGTCACAAAAGATGATAGAGTCAGAGTCCATTTGATTGTAAGTGGATGTATCTAATAGACATCTACATCTACCCTCAATCTAGAATCAAAATGCAGATGCGCCGTCAGTACTGAAAACTAAGATGGAACGCTTTGTTACCAGCTCCAGTCAACAATTCAAATAGTTATTTGTAAACTGTTATTATAATATCTCTGTTTCGTTGCCGGGTTGCACTCGGTCAGACCTGTTGAATCCGATGATGACTTAATAATGGCTTGTTACTAGTCTGTCGGAGTGCGATTCACCATTTTAGGATACCGCCATTTCACGGTATCCATAGCGTCAATCGTTCGCTGATTATGTAAGCCACGCGTAGAGAGGTTTATATTAAAAAAAATCCCTTGCATCCTATAGAAATTGTCAAACCAGATCGTCACTCCACCTAGTGAGGGTGGAGGGGCTACACTGCGCCGACCGGTACGAGGTAGTAACGAAAGCTCCTGACAGCTCAACGGATTAGTGAGCTGAAGTAGCAATAGGCCGGCCATATAGCTCAAAAAACCGACAACCGATGGGGAAGGCGAAGTGCCAATAGTTTACGTGAACAAAATTAGTAGAGAATTGGTGATTCGAACTTACTTAATATCAATGTCCCGCTGCAATAATATAAGTAAACACATGAAGATGTGGGTGTCGTAAGAGGGGACGAGGGGAAACTGAAACATGAGAAGAGCAGCAGCATCTTCTTGATGAAAAACTGCGGTCGCCAATCCACATGCTAAGCGTGGCTACTTCGGCGGAATCCCCCGTATGAGGCAATGTATGGAAGAGGCTTATGTTGAGCAGTGGACTTTTATAAGCTGTTAGCGGGGAATTCACTAAAAGGACATGCCCAGGGGCTGTTTGTTCTTGCATGTCTGTCGCCGCAATACACTACACAGACTCATGAGTTTGTTTTAGACCGCCTACGTGATTAGTTGTGCATTCACATTAAGATGACAACGAAACGACGTAAAATTCCAATAGTAGCTGCAGCTGGTTGTAGTAGGTGCTGCATTATCAAGTACTGTTCGACAGTAAAAAAAATAGAAAAGATTTTGCTGCAACGAAATGGTATTAAAATAGAAATTAGCTCAGCTATATCAATTTACTTAAAGAATTAGAAATTGATGAACCAGGAGACCTGTACAATAATTTGCGCATTGCAGACATGCCCGTGGGCATGTCCGTCTAGCGAATTCCCTGCTTTATGGATTATGGCCATAAAAAAGCAACATATTTAGAGTGACTAATTAGGAAAGAAACTACTGCGGCCCATGGATAACCTTCGATTAACTTCAAACAAAAAAGTCTAAGGATATGTTGTCACTTGTCACTCCTGAGGACTTACATGAAATAATGCCTCACACTTACTACTCATACTGGCTCTGGACGTCTCAGATCAAAACAACGTTTATACGTTAAACAACGTTTTATACGTGGTAGAGCCATGCTGCAGTTAGGTATATTAGTAGTATAGTTGTAGCACGAATGGGTCTCTCTCACAGAATACCAGCGTCAAATAGTAGCTTAATGCTGCTGTATTTCGTATGGTGAGTGTAGAGAACCGGAGACCCGTTTTATTGGAAACGAGGCATTCCATCTCAGTCCTCACGGGTGACAACGCATCTGCATTTTGATTTATAATGGGGGATAGATGTAGATGTCTATGGGCCGCAGCAACCACTTACCATCAGGTGGACTGTGTGCTCGTTTGTCACCCTATTCTATTAAAAAAAAAACGTTGCTGCTGCTGATTTTCGGCAGGAAAGGGTATGAATATGTGGGGAACAATCGTGACGGCTCGTAGGCAAAGTAGGATTTCTACCACTTTTAATAATACTGAACATTATCATGATCATTACACCCCTTCACAATTCCACTGCCGTCCATATGGTTCCCTCAAGAAATGCTCACAATACACCACAGAGAAAACTCCGAGCATAGCTCTGTTCATCTTGCTGGACGGCCCTACTCGTAAGTTTCCTCCACACGTCCAGCAGTGAAAGACCATTTCTCAGATTCATATTTCATCACTGACGATACATACTGGCTGTAGGTACTAATGGTGCCCACTCACGGTCAGTTAAACTGATCATTCCAACTGATCAGTTCAAACTAAAACTTGATATTTTTTAAAATATCGGATTTTCAATATATCCATAAATAAACTTATATGTAAAACTCCGATATTAATATATTTGTAATGATCGATATATCAAAAATCCACTATTTTAAAAAATATCAACGGTTTTAGTTTCAACTGATCTTTTGTAATGATCAGTTGAACTGACCGTGCGTGGCGTCCATAACGTTTTACGTGAATTAATGTGTCGCAATTGATGCAACATATAAATGAAATTGAAGTAGGTATCTGTTTGTACAGAACTAAGGAAGTTATTTGTATTTCATTGAGATATGAATAACAATTTAAAAAAAGATATCTTCCTGTCTGGGCTAATCTTCGAAATGGTTGAACAGATGGTTAGACTAAATTTTATCCGAAAAAGCTGAGCTTTTTTTAAGAAATCTAAAAATTGAAAAAATAAATGTTCTTTATAGATTCTTTTAAATCTAAGTAAACCTGTGTGATAATAATTTTATACGTGGTAGAGCCACGCTGCAGCTATTATGGTCGTAGCGTGAATGGGTCGGCTCGACCGGGGAAGGACCACGCTCTCACAGAATACTAGCGTAAAATAGCTGCTTAATGCTGCTGTGCTTCGTATGGTGTGTGTAGAACCGGAGACCCGTTTTACTGGAATCGAGGCATTCCATCTTAGTCCTCGTGGGTGACAACTGACAACGCATCTGCATTTTGATTCTTAATCGAGGTTATATGTAGATGTCTATGGACCATAGTATCCACTTACCATCAGGTGGATTGTATGGTCGTTAGTTTGTTTGTGTAAGTCGCTAGTAAGAAAATATATAAATATGATATTAAGTCATTGTAATTAACATTTAGAATGACTCTACGCTGACTGTCAAAACTGAAGTGAAACAGGAGTGTTTGGATAGCAGCGATGACGAGGCGATATGGATCTTGCAAACTGTTGATCATGAGACATCTGAACCCCTGGAAAATTTGTTGAAGATTGCCACAGTAAGTATCAGAGTAAGTGAACAGCTTGCGGACGTACCTTTGTTAAACATAGGCACTATCGATACTTCAGAGATGTTTCATAATCATCATTACAGCCCTTCAGAAGTCTACTGTTGAACATTGGTTTCCCTCAAGAAATGCCACAAAGCACGGTCCTGAGCCACTTGCATCCAGAGATGTTCATGGAGCAGGAAATTGATGAACTTCACAGGTCTCCTTATATTTTTTCTTTAAAAAAAAAGCGTTACCCCTACTCTCGAATTTTTTCCTGCATCGTGGGACATTACATACATAAATATCACAAGGGCAAACATCCAGACCCGGATTATATATTTATATATATGCATACAAATACTTTTCCGTACGGTATGAACCCACGGCCCTTAGCGCCGCATCTCATTGCTAAGCCACTGTGCCATAGAGCCGTCGACTTGAGGGTCTTCTCCATTAGCCCTTGAAATACACTGCTGCGTTGGACCTTGTTAAATTTTTTTTGGAAATATGTAATGGCACCCATGATAGATTAGCGTCGAAGTGCTCCGTCCAGAACTGCTGAGTTGGATTTTTAGTAACCATGTAGGCTTCGATCAACAATACCAACCAAGTTGGTTGGAGTTTTCTTCCGCGTACGACCTCTCTGTGGAATAGTTTATCACTGGTGATTTTTCCAAACCGATATGACCTGGGGGGGGGCTTCAAGAAAAAAGCTTACTCCTTTCTAAAGGGCCGACAACGCACCTGTAATTCCCCTGGTGTTGCGGATGTTCATGGGCGGTGGTAGTCACTTAACATCAGGTGAACCGTATTCTCCTTTGCCCCCTCTTCTAATAAAAAAAATCTGTATTATTTTATTAAACTGTACGCATATTTCCAGATGAAGAATGAAGATCAGAAAAGCGAAATAAAGAAAAAACACAAGTGTGATAACTGCAGGTAGGTGCAAGTTTATACGTGGTACAACGCTGAAGCTGCAGCCATATTATCCACCGGACCACGGCCTTACACAATAGCAGCTGTGTTTCGACCAGATACCCTTAATGCTGTAAACGAGGCATTCCATTCGCAGGGGGTGACAATGTATTCTACACTTTGATTCTTCATCGAGGATAGATGTAGATGTCTATGGGCCACAGCATCCACTTATCTTCAGTTGGACTATGTGCTCGTTAGTGTAAGAGAAAATTCTTATTTTCCCGCGTAAAAAGTATTAAAAGGTTTTCTGGTTAAAAGTAACTTTTTGCGTGCATACAAAGAAGCTTACCAGGTGCATGGTTGAATAACATCATTTGCCACGTGGTGGTGGGGTAATTAATAAAATGCGGCGTTACTTTGCGGAAATCTATTATGTTGAAGATGTAAAAAAACTAATTAGCTAAGATCTGCGTAATAAAATAATATAATGTGTCTTACCTAGTTTGAAGAACATTTCCCGCTCTCCCTCAATTAAGTGAAGTCGCTTAGCGGTCAGCCAATGCAGTGTACTTCACGTGAGGATACCTCCTGTAGAGGCGAAACACGTGTCTTACTATCGTCGGTGGTATGTCTTCTCTAGTGTATTGGGAGTAGTGCTGTTGGCATTAGTGACGAGGATAGTACACGCAGTTGAGGGAGGGTGAGAGGTGCTCTTCAAACTAGGTGGCAGGTACTAATTTGTTATGTGGTAGAGCTGCGCTGCAGCTATATTATGGTTGTAGCACGAATGGGTCGGTTATACCGGGGAAGGACCACGCTCTCACAGAGCACTAGCGAAAAATAGCAGTTTAATGCTGTTGTGTTTCGTATAGTCAGTGTAGAGAACCGGAGACAAGCTTTCGAGTATTGCGGCATTTCATCTTAGTCCTCAGGCGTGACAACGCCTCTGCATTTTGATTTTTGATCGAAGTGAAATGAAGATGTCTATGGGCCACAGTACCCACCTACTCACCAGATGGACCTTTAATTAACATAACATGAAATACTCACGCCTGTCACCCAGAGGGTAGGCAAGGAGGTGTACTACTAGACTTCCATTTTGCCGAGCACGATCCTGACATACCCATCTCTCGCCTTTTCCACATCCTACACATACATGCTCTTCGGTTAAGGGTACTCTTAATTTAGCCCATTTTTAGTATACCTTTTGGCCCTTTATTCTATAAAAAAAAAGGTAAGACACTCTTCAAACTAGGTAAGGCACCTTTAAAATCTAAAAGTGAAATATCCAATCTGTTACTAAAAAGTTGTTAGAAAATCTATTATTGTGATAGTAGTCAATCCACCAGCTGAGCGTGACGATTAAGGCAAATTCTACTTAAAATGGAGAGGCCTAAATCCAGTTTTGATTTTTACGAGCTTTAAGTACTATTACAATGATGATATTATATAAGTTAAGTTTGATTTATGTGGAGCAGTCATCAATAAACTTCATGATCAAGGGCGCGTGTTTAGTTCAATCCTTAAAATATTACAAGCTGATGATGAAGAAGACGAAGAATAACAGACATCAAATATTTGAAAAAACTTTAAAGTATTGCAGCCACGGTGTAGCTGTATTATGGCATCAACACAAATGGATTGGCTTAACCGGGATATAACCACGCTCTCCCTAGCAAGCCTTTATAATTAAACGTTAATGCTGCTGTACTTCGTGGGGTTAGTGGCGAGAAGTGAACTGAACTGAACTCACCCTAGAATGAAATGCGGAGACAGTGGTGTTTGTTAAGTCGATGGCTGTTGCGTGTTAAGGGCTACAGTGTCCACTTAAAATCCACAACATGAGGGTTAATAATTTGCCGCTCACTAGATGTTACTACTCGGGACTGAGGTGAAGTTAGCAATTGACATCACTTCAGTCAGTATCAGCATAAGCAAAAAGTTCTAAAAGTTTTTCTGGATCTAATGTATAATATACATACCACAACACACCACACACCATGTCCTTTATACACAAAACAATCCTTCAGTGGTTGCTCTTTAATTTTTTGCACATTCTTCACTTTTTTTAATTGGTTTAAAGGAAACATTTACGTTTATATTGTCCTAAGTTTCCATGAAATCTGTCAAATTTTTTACCTCCTTATGAGTGCCCTTATTTTACCGTTTCTTTTTTTTTTTAAACAAGGTAAAACCTAAATTAATTATTAACGCTATGTATATAAACTGTACTTTTAACCGACTTCAAAAGAAGAAGTACGTAAGTAAGTAAGTAAGTAAGAATTATATGTGTTCACCTATAATTCTTTGTCACGTTATCTGATTTTAATGATATATTTTTTTATAGAATAAGTGTGGCAAACGAGCACACAGTCCATCTGATGGTAAGTGGATGCTGTGGCCCATAAAAATGTACATTTATCCTCGATTAAGAATCAAAATGAAAATGCGTTGTCACTCCTGAGGACTAAGACGGAATGCCTCGTTTCCAGTAAAAAGGATCTCCGGATCTCTACACTCACCGTACGAAACACAGCAGTATTTTACGCTGGTATTCTGTGAGATAATTTATTCGTTAACTTCAGGGAAGTCCCATATAAACTTGATTTAGATTAATAGTAGGATCCATGAGAAAATAATGGAACTCTTCAATTTGCTAAGACATCTGCATGGCATGGGTTTATAATTATTTACCACGTCGATCGATTTTGATGTAGGTTTTTGAGTTTGGCTTATTTTTATTACTTTGAAGTCGATTTTTCTTTTTTTAAAGTTTATTTGCTCATATAAATAAGTTTCGTTTGATGTCCCGTGGATGCCTTAAGAAAAAAGTATCTATAGAAATATATCTGTAGGAATACTAACAAAAAAAGACATGTTAAGGGTTAGCCCCAAATCTACCGTACGGCGCGATTTACAGTCATGAAGCTAATTAATTACAGTTCTGTAGGAAGTGTTTTGTTTCAGCCGAATATTTCCTAATTCCGAAAGCTTGACCAGTCACAAGTGCCGCCGACGTGGCAGGAAGCGGAAAGACCCGGCCAAGGACGATTCTGGCATATGTGTACCGTCTGAAGAAGATTTTTACAGGGTGATAATACACTTTAAATTGAAAGTCTTTGTTAAAGTATTTGTTCAAAATAGGACAAGGGAGATAAAATAAAGCTCCTTTGAACTGTTCATCATTATCATCGTTACAGCCCTTCACAAGTCCACTGCTAAGCGTAGGCATCCCCCAAGAAATACCACGAAACACGGTCCTGAGCCACATGCATCCATCGACTTCCTCCATTTTCATCACTCCATCTAGTGAGGGGCCGACCTTAACTTCGTCTACCGGTACGAGGTTGCCAATCGAGAACCTCTCTCCCCCAACGGTTGTCGATTTTTGAAGCTGTATGGCTGGCCCATTGCCACTTCAGGTTACTTATCCGTTGGGCATTTACATTTTTAAGTCTATTACGCAGAGAATAGCCCTCTTCATACCTCGCGGAGCGACCTTGAGCTTCCTCATACGGCTAGCAGTGAAAGACCACGTCTTAGATCCATAAGTCATCACTGGCAACACGCACTGGATGTACACGCATCCTCCACAGTTATATACGTTTCGTACTCTGGTTCTGTACTCGGATAGCCATCGTGGCACTACTGTATAGTCTTAGAAATGTTACAAGGTCAAAAATTCAAAAATCCCCAACTGAACATAGACCTAGCTTATCGATTACCTCTTGAGGGGGATATTGTCCATAGTTACAATGCTTGGCAGGACGATGGGCAACCGCAGTTTTTTTGTTATCATGGGTTTTTATCAGAAAGGCACTGCTGCTCCTGCATATCCTGTTTCAGTTTACCTCTGGCATCTCTTACGAAACCCACGGGATATTTGGGTAATGGATATTATTGTACCGCCATTACGCAATCATTAGTGTATACGATTTATTCATTTTTGAAAAAGTAGATTAATGTCTTATCATAATAATCAAAATTACCATGACTTCTATTAATTTTGTCAAAAATACGAAAGCATATACATTATACAATACAATATCTACTCTTTATTGTACACCAAGAAAAGATAAATATAGCAAAAAATAAACAAATAATGAGGGAAAAACAAAAGGCGGTCTCATTGCTTCATAGCAATCTCTTCCAGACAACCTAGAAGGAGAATTAAATAAAAATAAGAAAAAGACCAAGGATAACATATTAAGTTATAAGTACTATAGGCGAGAGTAGGTTAAGGTGCGTCCGAAGTGCACCTGTGACCGCCCCAGAGGCGCGGAAATTTTTTTTGTCAACACAAATCGAATACACCTAAATAAAACTAACCGAATTTGGTTGCATCAAGTCGTAGCTGGCTAAACCCAGCTGCATCCGCACTTCAGCTTTTAGCCTCAACATTAAATAAAATCTAACTTTAACTATATCCTATTTTACCCAATAATCTCTTACAGAGAGCACAAGGCAGACCTAGACAGAAGCAGCAAGCTATTGATAACGATTTGCTGGTAGTGGTGAGTGTGAATTATACACATATTATAAATAAAATTAAGGTTTCTGTTTGTAATATTGTAATAACTGGCTATATTTTTATTTAATAGGGTATATTTTATCTGATGAACTTAATTTTTGAGGAACAAAATTTTTAAAGTTATAGGTTACTAAGTCGTGGTCGCTAGTATATTGTATATGTATTTACTTGGCTTATTTGAAGTTTTACGTTTATAAAATTTTTGGACGTGACACGCTTTACCTATATTAAGGTTGTTAGCACTTATGTCGGTTCGACCGGGGAAAATGAAAATGAAAAATATTTTCTCGACAGAAAACACCTACAATTCATTGAAGTACCCATTTGTACGCTAGTTAATCTCTTGCATCTTGGGTATCCATTTAGTAATAACAATTTATGTTTAGTTTTCGCTTGGTTTACAAACGAACAAACATTAAGAAAAAGAATAAAACGTTGAATTTCTTAATAGGTAATAATTATAATAATGATAGTTGCCCTTATGCGAGAAGTGAGAATATTTTTTCTGTCGAATCGTAATTTAAAAGCGAGCCGGGAAACAATTTTTGTTTTAGCTTCTTTTACAGAGCAATGTTTTATATTGCAGACGCTGATTACTTTGTTGTAAATTAACGAATTATGTAGGGACTGAAACGTCTAGCAAAACACAACTTGGTTTTGGGTAAAGAGACCTTGAAGACTTCATTGGGCTAAAATTTTATAATCTTTGCATTTTGTATAATATTGATGGACTTCGAGAGCTAACTTTGAAATGTATTATAGGCGCACAGTAAGGAATTTGCTACCCTGATACACTCTGTCTGTTGGATATCTAAAGGTTTTCTTGAGCGTTCTTTTAAGAATTGAACGTTGGGCTCCTTCTAGCTGAATAATATGTGTTTTCACGGCACTACCCCAGGATGTTAAACAATGGGTATGTTCTGAAATACAACCCAGTACACTGGCCAATGCAAATGACGTCATAAATCGACACCATATTACTGATTTGTTGTATCGAATATGGTGGAATACGGCGTCAATTAATGACGTCATTCGCATTCGCCAGTGTACTGGGTTGTATTTCGGAACATACCCAATAAGTCAAGGACTGACATAGGGCAAAGTATACGGACGGATACGAATTTCCAAGGATGTTGAGTGTCTGAGCAGTTTCATGATGTTGATAGTAATAATAAAAAGGACCACGCTCTTACATAATACTAGAATGAAATAGCAGCTTGATGTGGCTATGTTTCATATGGTGAGAGTAGAGACCACAGACTATATTTACTCGAAACGAGGCATTCGTGACAGTGACAACGCATCTGCATTTTGATTTTTAATCAAGAATGGATGTAGTAGGTGTCTTCGGGCCACAGCATCCATTTGCCTGATGGACTGTGAGCTCGTTTGCCACAAGTTTGTGTTATTCTATAAAAAATTCCATCTTTAGTCCTTACGGCTGACAACGCATCTGCATTTTGATTCGTAATCGAGGATACATGTAGATGTTTATGGGCCACAGCAACCACTTACCATCAGGTGGACTGTGTGCTCATTTGTCACCATCTAATTTTCGCAGACGTGAAGACTGACCGGCGACAGGGAGGTAGTGAGACGTGTTTTTAAGGCAAATCTGACTGAATCTTACGGTCTAATAATGGTTTATAACTCGAAAACGTCTCGACCGATTTTGATGACTTTTTTGTGTGTTTGAATGGGTCCCTAAATGATTTAAATTTACATTAGAATCCGGTAGGTGGCACTGCTGTCGAGACCCAAAAATCACCCGTGCGAAGTCGGGGCAGATCGTTGGTATTTAATATTTATGATTGTGTTCGCTATATGTTACAGAGACCTCGCAAGAAGAGGAATCGCGGCTCCACCTCCGACCCGCAGTTCGTCACCTGCCACAACTGTAACGAGTCGTTTACGTCGAAAGTTAGACTAAAATTTCACATGTAGGTGCATATAAGCTATATAAAATAACTATAATTTACCAAATTAAAATTAAATATTTTAAATTGTGTACTTTAAAACACGCTATGTATTTACAAAATCCTCTCAAATCCACTCTTAAAATAAAATAATACTAGTTAAGCATTGGCTCGATTCGCTTGTAGAAATTATTTAAACATTGTTAAATTATTAATCTTGTTTTATTCTGTGACAAATGAGCACACAGTCCACCCGATGGTAAGTGTGGTCCATATACATCTACATCTATTCTCGATTACGAATCAAAATGCAGATGCGTTGTCACCCCTGAGGACTAAGATGGAATGCCTCGTTTCCAGTAAAAAGAGTCTCCGGTTCTCTACACTCACCATACGAAACACAGCAGCATTAAGCTACTATTTTACACTGGTATTCTGTGAGAGTGTGGTCCTTCCCCGATCGAGCCGACCCATTCGTGCTACAACTATACTACCCATATAACTGCAGCCTGGCTCTACCACGTATAAAACTAACAAAACTACCTAATATTTAAAAAGTAAAACATGTTATACTAATGTTAAACAAACACTCTGTACTCGCGGTGCCATAAATCATCGGTGCGCTTGGGACAGGTATGCGGTGCGTCATTTATCGATATCCGTTTACTGATTCCAAGGAGCAATGTAACTGTGGAAAGTTCGCGAAAATGTTCTACACGCCGAAATACTTCAAGAAGAAGATTTGCAGAAAGCACATTTGTGTGAGTGCCTTGTGATTAGCATAGGTGACAATAGCGACAGTGACTATGACTCGGACGAAGATTAATTCATCATCATCATCATTACAGCCCTTCACAAGTCCACTGCTGTTCAGCAGTACTATTACTATTGAGGTCTATGTTCATAGGCCTCCCCCAAGGTATGCCACAAAGCACGGTCCTGAGCCACCTGCATCCATCGACTTCCTGCATGTCTTACCAGGTCGTCACTCCATCTAGTGGGGGGTTGCCCTACACTTCGCCTACCGGTACCAGGCTGCTAATCGAGAACCCTTCTTCCCCGACGGTTGTCGGTTCTTCGAGTTATATGGCCGGCCCATTGTTACTTCAGCTTACTAATCCGTTGGGCTATGTCGGTCACTCTGGCTCTACTGCGGATATCCTCATTTCTAAGTTTATAACGCAAAGAAACTCCGAGCATAGCCCTCTCCATAGCTCGCTGACCGACTTTGAGCGTCCTCATACGGCCAGCAGTGAAGGACCACGTCTCAGTTCCGTAAGTCATCACTGGCAACACGCACTGGTTGTACAGCTTAGTTTTCAGGTTTTGAGATATACCTGACGAGAAGATGTGTCGTAATTTTCTGAACGCTGCCCAGCCGAGTTGAAACCGTCGATTGACCTCTCGGTTGAAGTTGGACTTACCTAGTCGGACCATTTGTCCCAGGTAAACGTACTCGTCAACAACAGCAAGCTTAGTGCTCCCAACAACTACCGGCATAGGTGTGACATGGACATCAAACATGATCTTTGTTTTGTCCATGTTCATCTTAAGACCTATACGTTGGGCACTATTGAGGTCATTGAGCATAGTGCTTAAGTCGTCCAGCGATTCTGCCATAAGGACAGTATCGTCGGCAAATCGAAGGTGAGTGATGTACTCGCCATTGATGTTAATACCGTATCATTTCCAGTCCAGTAGCTTGAAAACGTATTCCAATGAAGAGATGAAGAGTTTCGGGGAAATAACGTCACCCTGTCTTACACCTCTCTGCAATTTGAAGATTAATTATTGTGTACTTATTTTAAAATTTTATTAATTTTGTTTAGTCTTAACTATAATAAATCTAATTATAGAATAGTTTTATTTTTATTTTACATTCTTTACTTTTTCATAATATACACATCGACACGACTGTGGTGCGTCACTGCGATAGAGAACGCACCAGGTAGCGTCCTGTTTCCCCATTTTAGTGTATCGTGGGTAGCGAGTGTTTAACATTAGTATAGTGAGTCAACTTTTTTATATAATACTCATATTACCAGTTCATGAGTTGTGTTAAATTGTAAAGAAAGAAAAGAAAAGATATTTGAATGTTAGTTGTTCCTGGAGGGGAGGACTTAGCTACCGTAAACTGTTGAGTTTTAGTTAGTTAGAGTGTGTAGTTCATTGAACTTTAAAAAAAATAAAACTGATGTTAGAAACTAATTATAGGCAACCTGATAATGCCTTTTCCAGTCTATGAACATCTGCACATAACTTTAAACAAAGAAGACTATGCTAGACTAGCATATTATAATCACCAATGGAATTATCAAACTAATTGATTGACTAATTTGTAGTTTAAAAGAATTGGAAACTAATTACTAGTTTAGAAGCCTGCATGTCTGAAAAATAAGAAAAAAAAATATTTCGAAAACATGTGAAGTTCACCAACACGCAGGGCAGCGCGGCGGACATTTCCTTGCCGTAAATCCCTCTCATATGTGAGAGAAGGCCTGTGCCCAGCAGTGAGACGTATGTAGACGGCTGTACCTTTAACTTTATGTACTACATGTAAACTCAACTAACTAACTCTTTAGGCAGTTTCACGACACTACAAAACTCCTCACGTCTGAGGGGAAGTACGTTTGCCCAGAATGTGAAGGCGCCCACTTCCCAACGGAGAGCGAACTCTTTGACCACGTCCACTTCCAGCACCACAAACAGAATCGCTGGCAGTGCCCTGTTAAAGACTGCGGAAAGACGTTCTTTTTGAGGTAACACAGATTTAACCTGTTTTAAATATGTTTTTTATGTGGTAGCTTCTGTGATGATGAGAACCGACGATCCACAAGAAAACTGCATTTTTCTTTAACCTTTATTAAAATAAAAAAGAATCATTTTTTATTCAATAAGATTACAAGAATACTTATTGAAAGTAGTTTTTTTTTACTTTTACACTGTTGCGGCAAAAACCTTTTTTTTAATAAGATGTTGACAAACGAGCACACAGTCCACCTTATGGTAAGTGGTTGCTACGGCCCATAGACATCTACATCTATCCTCGATTACAAATCAAAGTGATGATGATGCGTTCTCGCCCGTGAGGACTAAGATGGAATGCCTCGTTTTCAGTAAAAAGGGTCTCCGGTTCTCTACACTCACCATACGAAACACAGCAGCATTAAGCTACTATTTCACGCTGGTATTCTGTGAGAGCGTGGTCCCTCCCCGGTCGAGCCGACCCATTCGTGCTACAACTATACTACTAATATAACTGCAGCATGGCTCTCCTGGGAAGAACCAGCAAGAAACAAGCGGAAATTTTTTAAAAATGAAATCAATTTACAATATATTATTTTGTATAATTGGTATGAAGACATTTAGAAACAGCATAGTAGCGATCACCTCATTCCCAGGTTATTATTAATCATGTACTCATTTGTAGTATAATAACTCTTACTAAACAATTTTTGCTAATTTTTTTTAAAGTTTTTGATATATAAGGCCTGCATATTTTCTGAGACTGTTGTAAGAACGTATACATTGCCCCTTAAAGAAATTACTAACTGGAGTCGAGTAATAGAAACTCACAAAAAATCTAGCAAGTATATGCTTCATATACTAAATTATGTGCCTTGTAATTGAACCTCTGCTAGACCTATGAATTTTTTTTGATCCACTTTCTTGGTCTTCAGGAGGATATCCGAGCGCTGTTTAGCCCACATAATCACATTCCTCTGTTAGTATAATGAAGATGAAGGATTATTGTAATGGTATTCTGTTTGATTTTCGTTTAAAATTTGTTTGCTGGATATCTAATAACAGCGGTAATAACAGAGTCCAACAAGTGGGCAGTATATATAATCGGAATCTCGGAAACGGCTCCAACCCTGGACACAAAATTTTCATAAATTTAGTGTCCAGGGAGTTTCGGGGGCAATAAATCGATCTAGCTAGGATTTATTTTTAGAAAGTGTCATTTTGTCCGTGTTTTCAGGCAATGAATAACTGCTACAATATAAGAAGGTAAATTTTGACGCTGTGTTAATGATCGTAATAGCTCAAGTGGATATCGAGCGGTCGCGAAATCGTAATGCCTCTGTTCGCGTCCTGTCTTCGGTCCGTTTTTTTTCCCTTTTTTTTTCAAGTTCCCTTCTTTTGTGAGAAAATCTATTATTTCGAGCACATTTTTTTAGTAGTTCAGTTTTTCTATTATGTCAATAAGATCAAAAAATATTATTCATCAGCATGTAATTTGTATCTAAATGTAATTTCAAAAAAAAATACGTGTGGCACTCGGTGACTGCTGCGGTAAAGCTATTGCATAGCATTTTTTATCAACTTATGCAATTATATTTATTTATTTATTTTATTTATGCAGTTAAGTCTTTGATATTAAATCAAGTTACACTTTTTGAGCGTGGTGACCGATAAGAAAACATTTTTTTCTCTTATTGAATAAATGAGAAGTTAATATTGTTTAAAATATTTTTAATAACTTACAATACATGAGGTTATTCAAGAATTTTTATCATTGAATTAGCAGCTAGTGTACACGCATACGTCTAGTCGCACGCACACAAACACCGTGCCGAAGTCTGCCGAGTGCCGAAGTCTGCCGAACTGAAACGACGTTAGACGATGCACGGCTTTCAACGCCACACCTCCGTGCCCGTCAGAGTGGGGAGCGTGAGGTTTTTTTCGTTACGGAATTTCTGGATTCGGTCCCCGCGCTCAAGGCCCGCGATAGAAGCTATGCAATAGCTTAAAATCATCCGGGTACTTTCTTTTTAAACCTTATAAAAGTTATAAATTATTATCTATCGACGATATCATGTATGTCGAGTCTTTAGAGTTGTTATTTTGATAAAGCTGCATAAATTATCAAAAGTATTGCTTGATGTGTGCAGTGCGGTCATTGTGATTCTTTGTCAATTATTTATATTGTCAAATTTGTGAGACGTCTGATAGTGCGAGTCTATTAAGGCACGTCCAAATGCCTGCTGGCAGTAAGCTTACCTCGGCATCGTGCTGTTATAATTGTAGCATTTCAAAATAAGACTATGCTATATATGAAGAGTGGGTACGTGACTAGGCTATATTGATAAAACTGGTTGTATTTTTTATAGGATAAGGTTGGCAAATGGGTACACAGTCCACCTGATGGTGGTAAGTGGTTGTTGTGGCCCATTGACATATACATCTATCCTCGATTACGAATCAAAATGCAGATGAGGTGTCCCCTGTGAGGACTAAAATGGAATGCCTCGTTTTAAGTAAAAAGAGCCACCGGTACTCTACACTCACTATACGAAATTCAGGTATTCTGTGAGAGCGTGTTCCTTCCCCGGTCGAGCCGACCCATTCGTGCTACAATTATACTACTAATATTGCTGCAGCGTGGTTCTATAACTTAAACAAGTAATGTATTTAACGACGTGCATTTTTGTAAAGTGTTTTAGCTATCTATCGGATAGCTCTAGATTTCTGACATCTCGTAACGAGCTTTATGTGTGTCATATGCGGGGTTAGTCGAGATGACTTTCTACAATCGTTAACATTAATATATACCTAACTATAATAACTAATATGTATGACATATCTCAACGCGAAGTCATGTAACAGTGACTTGAGACAAGGAATTAACGTTGATTACATTAATTTTTATAGGTTTCTATAAGCGTTAACGATTGTAGACAATCAAGTTTATTGCCCTTACCCAGAAAGACTAAAGAAGTGTTCTAACACCTTGTAGCTTTTATTCGTTAGTAAATAAAATGGTCACGATCGTTTTAAAAGTTATCATACTTTTTTGTCAAAGAGCGACGTTGACGAAGCACAGCCGCACGCACACGGACACGCGCCGCTACGTGTGCGTCACGTGCGGGAAGCGCTTCCTTGACAAGCAGACCTTGGACGAACACGGTGTTACGCATCTGCAAGTAAGTCTAATGAAAAATAAATTATGTATCTTAGACATTATCAAAAATAAGAAAAAGAAATATATAAGTATTTTTGAATTTTTAAAAATGTTTATATTTTTAATATTTATGTAATAAGAGCTGTTATTGTCTCCCTCAGCCAGTAAGTGAAATATCATACATCAGACAGTTCCAGGCTTAATTTTTTTGTTACACTTTGATCTTAGCCAAAAGGCCGAGAGAAAAAAAACAATAGTTTTTCTTTCGGTTATGCATGTAGATTGACATGTTGCACCTCCAAAAAAAGGTTTATGAAATATAGGAAAATGCGTTTTACCTTGCAATTTGAAAATTAATTTTTTTTATGTAATGCATGTTTTTTCTGCTGACGATTGTTTAAAGTAGGTCAAATATATTAAAATGACTCGAACGAAGTATAAAAGGTAAAAAGTCAGTGGACAACGATCCACTTCCTCGCAACTGTGTTGGGAAGCATTGAAAGAAGCAAACATCAATCAATAAAGGAACGAAGAGCAAATAGGCAGTAAAATTTTTTTATAGATTCAGCGTGATATTCTTCACACTCTCCGCTAGGAGTAAAAGTATTCTGTGCTTCAAACGTACTACGAATAAGTTATTATTTTCCAGATAAAGCCATTCCAGTGCCACATCTGCCTAAAGCAACTTACACGAAGGTCGAGACTGCGAATGCATCTGCGCGCTCACGAGGAGGAACTGTCGCCCAGTCTGGTGCTGGTGTGTGCGGTGTGTGCACGCGCCTTTAGGGACACTCAAGACGCCGAGGTAAGCTCCCGCAACAGCGGTGTGCACGCGCTTTTAGGGACACGCACGACGCTGAGACCCCTAGTGAGCTCCTGGTGCACGCGCCTTTAGGGACACACACGACGCCGAGGTGAGCTCCCGCAGCAGCAGTGTGCACGCGCCTTTAGGGACACACACGACGCCGAGGTGAGCTACCGCAGCAGCAGTGTGCACGCGCCTTTAGGGACACACACGACGCTGAGGTGAGCTCCCGCAGCAGCAGTGTGCACGCGCCTTTAGGGACACACACGACGCCGAGGTGAGCTCCCGCAGCAGCAGTGTGCACGCGCCGTTAGGGAGACGCACGACGCCGAGGTGAGCTCCCGCAGCAGCAGTATGCACGCGCCTTTAGGGACACACACGACGCCGAGGTGAGCTCCCGTGCAGCAGTGTGCACGCGCCTTTAGGGACACACACGACGCCGAGGTGAGCTCCCGCAGCAGCAGTGTGCACGAGCCTTTAGGGACACCCACGACGCTGAGGTGAACATCCGCAGCAGCAGTGTCCACGCGCCTTTAGGGACACACACGACGCCGAGGTGAGCTCCCGCAGCAGCAGTGTGCACGCGCCTTTAGGGACACACACGACGCTGAGGTGAGCTCCCGCAGCAGTGTGCACGCGCCTTTAGGGACACATACGACGCCGAGGTGAGCTCCCGCAGCAGTGTGTACGCGCCTTTAGGGAGACACACAACGCCGAGGTGAGCTCCCGCAGCAGCAGTGTGCACGCGCGTTTAGGGACACACACGACGCTGAGGTGAGCTCCCGCAGCAGCATGTGCACGCGCCTTTAGGGACACACACGACGCTGAGGTGAGCTCCCGCAGCAGCAGTGTGCACGCGCCTTTAGGGACACACACGACGCCGAGGTGAGCTCCCGCAGCAGTGTGCACCCGCCTTTAGGGACACACACAACGCCGAGGGGAGCTCCCGCAGCAGCAGTGTGCACGCGCCTTTAGGGACACACACGACGCCGAGGTGAACTCCCGCAGCAGTGTGCACGCGCGTTTAGGGACACACACGACGCTGAGGTGAGCTCCCGCAGCAGCAGTGTGCACGCGCCTTTAGGGCACACACGACGCCGAAGTGAGCTCCCGCAGCAGTGTGCACGCGCCTTTAGGGACACACACGACGCTGAGGTGAGCTCCCGCAGCAGCAGTGTGCACGCGCCTTTAGGGACACACACGACGCCGAGGTGAGCTCCCGCAGCAGCAGTGTGCACGCGCCTTTAGGGAGACACACAACGCCGAGGTGAGCTCCCGCAGCAGCAGTGTGCACGTGCCTTTAGGGACACACACGACGCCGAGGTGAGCTCCCGCAGCAGCAGTGTGCACGCGCCTTTAGGGACACACACGACGCCGAGGTGAGCTCCCGCAGCAGCAGTGTGCACGCGCCTTTAGGGACACACACGACGCCGAGGTGAGCTCCCGCAGCAGCAGTGTGCACGCGTCTTTAGGGACATAGGTATACTCGTTTGTCACACTTATTCCATAAAAAAATCCCATGATCAGCCAGTGACAACAAAACGGTACGTTGATAATAATGCGCTTTAATTTGCGTCATATTGTTTTTCGTGCGATCGTTTTATTGGTATCATTACCGAAAATATTAGCTTATAACACTTTTTAGGTGAAAATAAAAACAATTTGGCGACACCGCACTCTTTAAAATTCGTCAATACGTGTACGGATGTACATAATATAAGGTTACAGCCTATATACGTCCCACTGCTGGGCACAGGCCTCCTATCATTCCTGAGAGGTTTTTAGGGCAAGGGAATGTCCGCGACGCTGCCCCAATTTACACAGTAAAGGAAGTTCACAAGTTCATGTCTTCGAAATATTTTTTTTTCGTTATCAGACATGCAGGCTACTTTACGATGTTTTCCTTCACCGCCGAGCACGTAGTAAATCAGTACTTAAAATAGCAATTAACATTATCATTGGTGCCGGCGAAAATCGAAACCGGGTTGCTCGCGTGCTGTGAAATTTACAGCGAGCGCTAACCATCTGAGCTACCCACGGCTTATCATGATAAATAGGATTCTATTATTGATTACATAAATACCTGCAGGAACATGCCAGCAAATCGAAAGAGTGCGTGGAGCAATTGAGTCCAGCTGTTAAGGAAGTAAATGAAGCCACAATTCAGCTGTCGCCGACCAGTGGCCTGGTAACACACACTGTGTCAATTTTCGGTACGTTTTTTTGACAAGGGATTTAGTTAGAGGTTACAAAAACTAGGTTATACACCTTGAACTTTCTGTATCTGCACTATCCGGTTTTATATAAAGTTGAAAAAACAAGAAAACTAGTTAAAACGTCCACATCATGTTTACTAGTAATGAATATTACTAATTTTACACGTTTAAGTTATGAGAGTTGCGTCTACGGAAACACTTGTATGCTCAATTTACTATTTTCTAATAATAATGTCCAGACCGAATTTCGGTCGGCGATAGAAAGTAACCATCTGCGCAGGATAAGATTACACTGCACAAGTGTGTGCGCAAGCACAGGTTCACTCTATACCCGGACTGCTCCTAAAATTATTTTACAGAAAAACCTAAAAATAACTGATTTTTTTGGCCCGGGATTTTAACTTGTGACCTCATCACCAGCCGTCGTTCATCAGTCGTGGTCGTTACCACTGGGCAATCATAGCGTTTAATTATAATGATTTTACTATCTACTGTCTAATCTATATCTTATTCCAATAACCATTTCTGATCATATGCAGTATGGTTACGCAGTGATAAAAATCCTATTTCGATCTTAAGAATGTCCTAAGGGGTCAATAGAGAGGTCAGAAAGACTCCAGAACCTTTGATAGATAAGCATCCCATCTCGTTTAACGAGTAGTTGTACGCTAAATTTGCAAGACTAAGACCAATGATAGGGAACGACGTTAAAAGAACGAGAGTATTGTAAGCGTCATTCTATCAGCCAAACGTTGCGGTTACGATGTGTACTTGAATAGAAGCCACACAATGCGAGAGACAGAACCACGCGAACGCGAGTTACGGTTGCTGTACGAATGAGTTGGCTCGACCGGGGAAGAATCACGCTCTCACAGAATACCGGAGTCGAATAGCAGAATTATGCTGCTGTGTTTCGTAGGGTGATTGAAGAGACCTCTTAATTGGTAACGACGCATCCCATCGTAGTCCTAAAAGGTGACAACGCATCTGCGTTCTGGTTCTTATACATTTTTATGTTTTGATTCTACGTCACGTTCGTCTCGGACTCGTTTTGTGTTTAAGAGTCCGTCTAGTTAGGTACCGCACTCTTTTTTTTATAGGATAAAGCATACGAGCATACAGTCCACCTGATGGTAAGTGGTTACTACGACCCATAGACATCTACATCTATCCTCGATTACGAATCAAAATTCAGATGCGTTGTCAACCGTGAGGACTAAGATTTAACGCCTCGTTTCCAGTAAAACGGTTCCCCGGATCTCTACACTCACTATACGAAACACAGCAGCCTTAAGCTGCTATTTTATGCTGGTATTCTGTGAGAGCGTGGTCCTTCCCCGGTCGAGCCGATCCATTCGTTCTACAACTATACCAGTAACATAGCTGCAGCACGGCTCTACCACGTATATCTTACCTACTTCTGTTGCAAAACCAAAAGTGTTCCAGTGGAAAGGGTAAAGAGAGACAGTAAAATTATAAGTTGTGAGGCATTCCCTCTTAGTCCACAGAAGTGGCAATGAATGTGTAGCTTTCTGCATTCTTTGTTGAAGTTGGCTACAGTAACCACTTACCATCAGGTAGACTGTAAGTTCATTTGTTACTTCAGTTTCATAAAAAAAATCTCAATCGGAGAAAGATGTAAGTGTCTATGGGTCACTGCAAGCACTGCACTGATCTACAGGTGGATTGTGTGCCCATTTATCATCGTTACTTCTATTAAAAGTCGGTTTCCAATTTGTTAGTCGTCGTAGAACTTCTAAACGACTTTACCGTTTGAGGTCGTATTCACACATTGGGTGCTTTGGCAGAAAAACAGCAACCTCCAAAAATAAGGCCAAACACCCCACGCAACCCACCCCCCCCCCTTTTTAAGTTGTTGTAAAATAAAAAAAAAAAATATTTAAATAATGACAAACCGAAAAAACAGCACGCCACAGCAGCGCACACATTGTTGTTTTGTCGGTGGTCCATAGTTATGCTACGATTCGATGGTTGGCGCTGCGGTCGTGCTATATTAAATTTTATTCTCCAATCTAACTTATCGTGCCACGTTCCGGAAAGGGCAAAACAACGTCTGCCGGACCAGTTAGTAATTTATAGGTATAGGATAAGGGCGGTAAACGACAAGGTACACCTGATACTAACTGCATGCTGAGGCCCATAGATATTTACATGTATCCTCGATTAGGAATTAAAATGCAGATGCTTTGATAGCCGTGAAGGCTGGGATGGCATGCCTCGTTTTAATAATAAGGGATCTTTGGTTCTCTACACTCATCATAGGAAAAATAGCAGCATTGAGCTGTTACTTTACTCTGGTCGAGCTCACCTATTCGTGCTACAATAATGTAGTTGCATTAACTCGTGCTACAATAACACTTCAAAAAATTAAATTAATTAGTAATTTATAAAAATGAGGTCATTAACAACGTTGATTTTGTTTCAATAACCAATAGCGAAGTTTCCTCAAGCAGACTGTGGACCAGAGGGCGAAGCATTGTTATCAACGCTCACCGACTTCGCGAGGATAATCATCAGAGTCGTCGAAATCGAGAAAGCCTTCCGGTGCGAGTACTGCGAAGAGTAAGAGGATCTTAACAATTATAATTTTTGTTTAGAAATTTCTTAAAAGTGGCCCCCTAACATAGGCCAGGCCCATCGATTGGCTCATAAGGGGGATATTTGCCATAGTCACGCTTGGCAGATGGGCTTTCAACGGCAGTTTTTTTTTATAAATGTGGGTTTTAATCGGGAAGATGCTACTGTCTATCAGTTCGATGTCCCTTTTTCGCCTCTTAAGACACCCATAGGATGATATGGGATAGAGTAGTAGTGCATTCTCTAAGGCCGCCACTTACTTGATGGTAAGTGGTTACTGCAAACCATAAGCACAGCTAACTATATGTATAGATAGGACTGGTGTGCTTTCACAAATGAGTGGTACCTTCCCAACGTGATAATCAACTGGTGCCAGTGTCAGCCTTTCTTTGCGGTAGAGCCACTGCAGCTGTATTATGGCTGCAGCACGAATGGGTCGCCGCCGCAGAAAGGCCAACTTCGACAAAATAACTTGTGTTTAAACACAAATATTTAGATAACCTCCCTTGATGACAATTTACCCGACTACGACAAAAGTTGCTAAAACAACACGCCTTTTACCATCAAGGCGCCCAGGACCGGCACATTGTAGTGTGCCGTGAGGAATGCCCGGGTAAAGGGGTATACCCCGAGACCTGCATGGCACTACGTCTTGCAGAGGACAACAACGACGAATGGGTCGCCTTGATAGGTGAAGGATAGATCATCAAAAAATATTTATTACACAAGAAATGTTTTTGTACATTTTTTGATAGCTCTAAAAGTGTCGCAAGAATAAGAGAGATGGTCTCTACTCTCTTACAGCTCTTACTGTATGCCAGATTATTGATATGTTTCGTATGATGAATGATGAGGTATTCCATCGTATAGCGTATCGGTAACGAGGAATTTCGTCTTCTACTCGACTTGAGGGAAATTACTAAAGTGGGGGTAAGGTTTTGCACATGATAGATAGATCTACGCTGTGAATAGAATGAGTCGGCTCGACACGTCGGCGTGACACATCAGCATTATGCCGTTTCGTATGCGTAGCGTAGAGAACCGTAGACCTTGTTCTACTTGTAACGAAGCATTCCATCTTATTCCTCAAGGGTGACATCGCATCTGCATTTTGATTCTTAGTCAAGATTAAAAAAACACAATGAGACGGGAACATGCCACTGTGAAGTTGTTTAAGGAGATGCATAGAGCTAAATCGTCTGCATATTGAAGAACATTACAAAAAGAAATTACTGAAAGTTCTAAATCGTGAGTATATATAGAATAAAGGAGAGGACTAAGAACTGAGCCTTGTGGAAGTCCTTTCCATATAGTTTTTGGGGGAAGCAGGAGATTTTTAACATTTATAGATATTGATCTAGAAGAGAGAGAGTTAGAGACGTAATTGACTATCCTCACTGGAATGCTCAGATTAAGCATTTTCTGCCTGAGCACAGGAAGAAGCACATTATCATATGCAGAAGAAATATCCAAGAAAACTCCTATGAGAAATTCATGTTTTGAAAAAGCAATATGAATATCTGTGACCAAAGTACTAAGGCTATCCATGGTACTTAAACCTTTTCGGAAACCGAATTGGCTTTTAGGTAAGAGATTATTCCTTTCCAAAAACCACTCCAAGCGATTTTTTATTAAATGTTCCAAGATTTTTGCCAAAGTACAAGAAAGGGCAATAGAACGGTAACTGGAAGGGTCATTACTAGACTTACCTGGTTTGAGAATGGGCAAAATAATTTGGGTTTTCCATTCAGGAGGAGGATCAACAGTAATATAAATAAAATTTAAAATGGATAGTAAGACAGTTTTAGTGTTCTCACTACTATTAATTATAAACGAATAAGGAATCCCATCAATACCTGGTGAGGAGTCTTTAAGGTCATTGAGTACAGTAAACAATTCCTGAGAAGAAAAGGGGGGAATCAAATTTATCATCTGTTTTTAAAAAAGCAGAATTAAAAACTAGGCATTCATCATAAGATGGGACTATAGGCACGTAGCATTCATTTACCATTAGGTGGACTTTGTCACCCACGATTCTTTAAAAATGTTTTAGTATGTTCTCATGTTACAGTGTGTTCTATTTGGAAGACGCGCTCAACAGCCATCGCGTGATTCACAAGGGAGTGAAGAATCCCTTTACTTGCCACATCTGTAAAGTCAGTTTCGCCACGTATTCCAGGTGAGATTTTTCCAACTTGAACACTGAAATAGTTCAACATATCACTTTTCCAATTGGGTTGTTAACAGCATTAATTATACATTAGTAGGGATGGGCCGAATATGGATTTCACCGAATACGAATATTTGGCCGAACATTATTCGGCAGGATTACCTCGGTACCTAACCAATTTATGTCGAAACTTATTACCGTAAAGCGAGCGGGATTAGCGCCGAAGCCTTCCCCTCGCTCCCTGCCACACCTGACATGTGAGAAAAAAAGTATTCTTAGTAAAAATTGATAAGTATGTGATGAAAATGAGTGGCAGGAGATCTACTATTTGAACCATTTTTTAGATTATGGCGACTGTAATGTAATGTTTCTTTGTTTGATTCCAAACAAAATTTTATCAAGCTTTCTATTTGCTATAATTGGAAAAAAAACTACAGTGCCTCAAAAACATATCGTTATACAAGTAGATTTAACCCATAAATAAAATATACTTTTAACAGTAAAATGATGAAAGACATGGCATTACTCAATTCGTACATTTCCATACAGTGGATACTTTGTGTACCACTTTAAACGAATATTCGGTGATTTAGCCGAATATCCGGCCGAATATGAATATTCGGTAAAGCTGCCGAATATGCCGAATACCGAATATAAAACGAATATTCGGCCCATCTCTATAAATTAGTACATTATAATTTCAATTTGTGTTATAATAATAATCCTCTTAAATATGTATATTTATAAACTACACAAGAATTTTATATCTTAAAAAATGAAAAATAGCATCCATTGCCAAACTAGGCTAAAACCTGTATTTCAGCATATGGAGCCACTCCTCAGTCATAAGAAACATAAATTATAATAATTTATATTATGGAAAAATTACAAAACTTTTTTCTCTATATGTAATAATACGAGTAAAAATTTAAAATAAAAAATGTAATATGTACTTCTTTTGCAAATGGTGCTTGTATGTTTGTAAAAAGTGTAGGGTCCAATCAATAAAAAGAACCAAATATACTGTAAAACATCTTGTATTTCGCACTTTCTCCAGGTGATTGTACTAATTAATTCATATAAATACCAAATACGGTCGGTCGCAGTTGTCTCTGCCGATAATTATTATTGTAGGCTTATTATAAATGTGGCAGGCTCGTTATTGTAAACACCCTCGTAAATCTATAACCGGCACTTTATTATTGCAATGTTGTATTATTTCCGGTACATATAATCTTCATCATCATCGGCACTGTAAAGTCCATTGCTGGACATGGATTTCTCTTGTTGTCGGTCACGCCTGATGATTGCAGTCATTGTTACCAGACATCTCACACCGTTGACGCTGCTGTTCATCGTAGGTCCGAGTAGTTTATGTCCGACGTAAACGAGATAGTTACAGCGTCATCTATCGGAAACTATACGATATTTTTTTTGCATTTATCATAGATTCTTTTGCATTTATCAATTAATCTGGATCTTCAGGATGCTGAGATACGTGATGCCCAGGATGGTTGACAACCAAACTAGCTCTGAAAAAGGTCTCCTTATTAAAATATATTACTCGCTGGTGCAATCTATCTTGATATATTGTATATCTATCTGGGGTGGTGCTGCCAAAACCCGTTTTATTGAGGTAGAGCGGGCCCAGCGAAGACTAATTAAGACCATGTGTTTTCAAAATTTGGGGTTCTCGACCGAGCGTCTTTACCAAAACACTGGTATTCTTTCTGTTAGGAAATTATACATAATGCAGGCAGTTTTAAGAAAACATTTATCCTTGCCTTACAATCCTGATATCAAGAATAGGAGAAGACATGACATTGTTGTACGAGCTCCTCGAAGCAACACTGCCTTTGCTAAAAAGACAATATACCAAACGGTCAGGACATCTATATAATACAGCAAACAAGGTATTGGGAATATATGATAAAGTCTTTTTTGAATGTAGAAGACTTCTTAAGATATGGCTACTCCCTAAGTCTTACGATGACACTGAGGCTCTTCTAGAGTAATGAAGCAATAATTAAATTACATTATATTATTTTAGAATTTTACACACAAACACACCACTCAGTTTCACACACACACACACACACACAAACAAACACACACACACACACACACACACACACACACACACACACGCACACACACACACACTCACACACTCACACACTCACACACACACACACACACACACACACTCACACTCACTCACATACACACACACGCGCGCGCGCATTCAGGCTTATGTTGCTTAAGTTGCTTTGGCTGATTTATAAATGTAAATAAATAAGTATATTAAGTCATTTTTGTTAGACCACATATATTATTGTTACTTATATATTTTTATTTTGTTTCGTAATTATTATTTATTAAGTTTTCTTGTAAGAAATGACCTATTTTAAGGAAGAGCAGTGTCCCCTGGCACAGGCTGATTCAAGCTTAAAAGGAGACACTGGTCACATATATTCTAAGTACTTAAACTGTTACAGCAAATAAAACATTATTATTATTATTATTATTATTCTGGCATTTCTCATTCATCATTTCATATCTTATGACACCCTCGAGATGAAAAGAGTTGGAAGAGAAACCGGCGCTATTGAACATTCTTCTCGAATCTAAGTTGATAGTGTATTTTACATTTATATTTTTTAGAGTAATAGGAAGTTGTGCACTCCTTCCTAATTGATGAACGAGGTTTCGGTTACCAACGTGTAGTGAAAAATACAGCATTAATCTACCGACTGGTGGTGGAAAATATTCTTATTAGGGTGAGGATGGAGACATTCCTACTAGGGTGAGGATAGGGTGAGAAAATTGGTTCTGTGCTCACCGAGCCTGCCCAGCGTGGCGTTTATAACCAACCCTTTTCTATTCATAAAGATCTTGTATTTTAGCAGGATAGTAAGTCTCTCTATTCGGATAACACGTCGTGTTGGAGCCAGCTGCAGCTATATAATGGCTGTAGCAAGATTAGTTCGGCTCGACATGGAAAGAACCATGTTCTGACAGGATACTAGCATGAAAAAGTGGCTTGATGCTGCTATATTTCGTATGGTGAGTGTAGAGAACCTTAAACCTTTTTTACTGGAAATAAGGCATTCCATTTTAGTCCTCAGAGATCACCTGCATTTTGTATCTACATTGCACGCAACGAATCTGCATTGTGATTCTTATTCGTACATTGATGTAGAAATCTATGGGCCACAGCCATATTCCATCAGGTGAAATGTGTGCTCATTTTTAACCTTTTTTATATAAAAGGAATAAGGGATTGAAGATATTTGAAGATTGGAAATTTGTAAGTTTGATCCTTATTTGACCAATCCAGACAAGAATATATGATCGCTGGAATTCTTGCATCTTGTCTCTATTTACAAATAAAAATTATCCTTTTATCAGATGCACTACCCACAAGACGACACATGGCTTCTACAAGCGTTCCCTGGCCGATTGCAAGAAGCAGACAAAGTGCCCCGGTAGACCGGAAGCCGGACCATCGGCTACGGGCATCCTTGGATATGGGGGCTTCCCTGTCGTCAAACACTTCTTATGCGAGGTAACTTACGTGGAAAAAAAATTGTGATTCAATTTACGGAAGATTTAGTTTAATGCTTATCAGGGTTTGGGACCTTGGACTCCAATCTGAGTGGTGTTGTGGTATCTGCGTATATCCTCAACGTATCGCCCTCAGACCGAATTTCGGTCATGACAGCCATTCTAAACGGTTACAACTAATATTCCCTCATTCTCATAGTCCAATAATGTGGAGATCCGACATTACCGGAAAGAGATCGGGCGCAGGGCTAGGAGATCCGACATTACCAGAAGGAGATCGGGCGCAGGGCTAACATTAAACACCGGCAACTTCATGACTCCGGGGTGCTACTGACAACTTCTTGTCAGAAAAACCCAAAAATGATTATGTTCCTATTCAGGATTCGAACCTGAGGTCTCATGGGATAGTGTGATCATCTTATGCGTCCGCCGCATCTTGGGTGCACGCGTGTGTTTTTTTAGTGGGGGTGCGTGCGTGCGTGCGTGCGTACGTTGGATCGTAGGTACGTGCGTCGGATCGTGGGTGCGTGCGTGCATGCGTCGGATCATGGGTGCTTTCGTGTGTGCGAGCGAGAGTGTGTGCTGACGCACGAGTGTGTGATTGTGGGTGCGTGTTTGCGATCGGCGGTGTGTGAGTACATGGGTGAGTGTGTTCGTTTATGCATGTGATCATTTTTGCGTACAGCGTGCGTGCGTTAGTGTATGCGTGTATGTTTACGCGTGCTTGTGTATGTACACGCGTGCACGCGTTTGTGTGTCTGTTGTATTATTTATTGTTTTGTTTGATATTGAGTGAGAATAATTCTATTTTTGTCAGGACTGCGGTCGTTCTTATCTACACTGGACTTACCTACAAGTGCACCGTCGCATGAAGCACGCGAACGAAAACTACCTCTACATGTGTAACCAGTGTGAGCTTACGTTCCTAAACAGGTAAGACACATAACTTCTACTAGTTATCCCGGGCCGAACGCAAGTCGCAGAAAACTTGCCAATAGACCGGAAACCGGACTTCGGCTACTGATATCCTTATGCGTTATTTACGCGGCAGTGAGTAGGGTAGATAAGACAACAGTTTTTATTTGGTATTGGCTGAATGCAAACAGATTGGAGCAACGAAAATTAATAAACTAATTATGACTTTAATTAATAACTTATAACTAAAGTTCTATCTCATTGTCTGGGACTTATAGGTCCCATATTTACATATGTGGAACTTATAATAAAAATAATGTGCCAACTATATTACTTGCCTAGCATGTAATTCTTTTACGATTGTACAATTTCTACTAAAGAGATATTGGCTTTGTGATCGTGTAGGGTGTAGGTGATAGGTTAATCACCTATAACTTTTTTCAAAATATTCAATATAGGCATATAATTTCCATAGCTCACTGCGCTTTGGACTCTCCATCGGAGATTACAGACTTCACGCTTTTGTATGTTTATAAATAAAGTTCCAAAAGTAAATTTTAGAACTTGAAAATGAGAGAGTAATTAAAAGGGGAACAAAGCCGAAAGCACTATTTCTACGGCCGTCGTTGCGTGAATTTTAAATACCTAGTTAGAAGCAGCATTTCAACACACTGCCTTAGATATAATAGCGGGAAGAGAACAAAGTAAAGGAGGTATTGGATATAGATGTCGTTAATTGTTGTCACTATTTTTAAATTGTTTGAAAAATATTTTAAGCTCTTTATTATTAATATCTATCCATCCATTGCAGTATATAAAAGTCCACTGCTGGACGTAAGCGTCCCCCAGCATTTTATTATTCCGAGTTGTTGAGTACCTGAGTAGATGCTGATGATGATCTGCAGGTTTAGTTTCCCTCAGTCGCCTTTTACGACACCCACGGAACGATTCCCGCTTCCGTTCTGGAAATTTCGACCTGAAAAATGAACCCCGTGGTCGTCCACTACATAAAAATCTTTGGTCGACAATGACGAATTAAAGGCGATATTAGAAGCTGATAATACTCAATGTACGACTGAATTAGCAGAAGCTTTCGTAATATATCGCTAATAAGTAGTTATATTCCGTCAATTTACAATTACTATATTTATTAACAATTACTATATTAATATAAGCTGGAGCAAAAAGTGTTTGTTATCAGCTGATTGTTCCGTCAGTGAAAAACGTGCCCAAAACAATCTAACCGAAATTGCCACGCAAAATAGGATGTAAATAGAATAACAAACCAAAAATACTTGAATATTGGGAATTTTAAGGACAATTTTTAATACCAATAAATTGGCTATTTATCCTATACGTTAAACAAAAATATTAATAGATTAATCCGCAACCTTCTGCTTAATTAAATACAATAATGTGTCTTACCTGGATTAAAGGGAAATCCTCCCCCCCCCCCGCCCTCCCGTCACCATTAATCCCAGCACCACTACTCCCAACACCACTGTTCTAGGAAAGACACACCATCGACGATAATACGACACGTGTTTCGCCTCTACACGAGGCATCCTCAGGAGATGTAGACTCTACGGCGGCTGACCGCTAAGCCTCTAAGGGATTAGTGCACGCAATTGAGGGAGGGCGGGAGGTGCTCTTCAATCCACGTAAGATACATCATTGTATTTAGTTAGCGGAGGGTTGCGAATTAATCTATTAATATCTTTGTTATAATCGATTTGCGCAAAGTAACGCCTGATTCTATCAATTATCTATGCGTCAAAGTCCATGTAGGTACTTCAATTTCGAAATTCCAGCTTTAATTTTGATATTTAAACAAAGATGAAATAGACGTATTAATTTTTTTCAAATAGTATTAGAATGTAATGTAGCCCCCACGACAATACCTATATATTAGTTATAAGTTTAGATTAAGTAGTAGTCTATTTACTGAATTGACACCATATGCAATGAATAACTGCAGTGAAAGCGCACCGCCTGGCGTGGTTTCCATGTAATGTTGAAAGATGTCAATGACAAGAAGACGTGTTGATCTATCAAAGACTTAAATTGGACTACTACTTAATCTAAACTTACACTAATATATAAATTTTGTCGTGGCTACACTACACCTTCCACCGACAAAATAATGAAAATAATGCTATGTATTTTTTATCAATCCTTAAAATTATCCTTATAAATGAATATCTTCATGAAAACTATAATCTAAGACATATCTAGATTTAGCAGGGCGTTTGGCTAAACTCTCTAGAACGTAAAAATGACGTATGCACAAAGGTATATGACAATCATTATATAAGTACGTGGTAGAGCCACGCTGCAGCTTATATTATGGATGTAGCACGAGTGGGTTGGCTCTACCGGGGAAGGAACACGCTCTCACAGAATACCAGTGTAAAATAGCAGCTTAATACTGCTGTGTTTCGTAAGATGATTGTAGAGATACGGAGACCCTTTTCTTATCAAAAACGGAGCATTCCATCTTAAAATTTACTTTTCTGAGGTACTTTTTTTGATTTTTTTTCAGTTTACTTCCTTTTTGCATTCCACACTGATAAAGACCTCTAAAAAAACCTAATTGACATTTCTACTAAATTGATGATACTTAAATGTTATCGGCGAAAGAGTTCATTTCGTGATTGTCGTTTGAGGATACCTATGGAAATGTATCCTCCGATAGACGCCGATTAAATACCCAGACCACCGATAACAGCGTTCAAGGCCAAGGCGTGAATCGTCTATCATTATGGTTGTCAAACCGCTGACCAAGCGTCGCGATTACGCTGAATTACCTCTTCTAACGTTGGATCCCGTACTAACGTTTGTATGCTTTTATCTTTCATAGTAAAACAACTGGTTAATGTTTGGTAATAAATAGTTGGAGTTTGGCGTATCATAGAAAAAAGATGCATGGAAATACCGGACAAGAAGATGCAGGCGGTGCAAACAAGGTTGCTAGGAATGATTACAGGTATTAAAGGTTTCAGTACAAATTCCTGTGAATAGAAAAGAAGCGTTGTCTCTTCGTTAATTAGAAATAGTAAATCTCAAACGTCGTTCGCAGTAGAGAACCAACTGCCCTACCTAGTATGTAGAATAGTAAGAGTCGATTAAGAGAAATATCTAGAAAAACTCGAAGCTATGACAAAGGACAAATTTTCAAAATGTCTGCGAGTAACGACCGTGGTGTAAATAGTCTGGCAATTTATTTGACATATTTGGCCTGTCTAATGTAGTAATCAACCTAAATAAAAAAATGAAATCAAACAGTAAATTAACTTTGTAGCAGGTAAGGCTGTTTTTTGCCTAGGATTCCTTCAGAGTACGTACCGCCCTACCAATGATTCCTGCTGGGAACATCAGGGCACTTATTGCTGTGTTGTGGTTTAAAGGCTAATGGCCAAATACTCAAGCGCTATTCAATTTAAGGATATCGTTGGGTCTAGTGGTGAACTGAAATGAAACGAATGATTTTATTAAATATAGATTATCACATAATACTTTTTGAAAGTAATTTTTTTATTTACCAATAGTTTGGAAATCAGCAGGAAACTCAGAGAGACTTTTTTTAAACATATTTCATATTACAATAATTTTGCTTGTACAATTTTTAAATGAATTTTAATAGAGCGATCATGGTGGCGAAATAGCATAACAAACTTAGGTAACTCTGTTTAATCATCCCACCAGAATACCGTGCCGTGACTGTAGCGAGGTGCTACCAAACAAAAATGCGCTGTATGCTCATAGACAAAAAGAGCATAGTACCATGAGCGATGAACAAGGTTAGTAATACATTTTGTCTAATATTGCATATGTAAGTGAAAGCAGACATTCTTCATGTTAGAATTATTGTTCGAATTAACTATGTTTCTCTATTTTAAAGATTCAAGCTTTAAGGTTCTAAAAAAGAAAAAAGAAAAAAAGAGACCATCGTTCTTACTCATAAAGAGTACATAAATATTATAAAACAACAAATAGCTGTAAAGAGTATGGCGGCTAAATGTTCCAAAATCTGTTGGACAGTCTAGCAGTAGAAATTGAAGTTTCTATAAAATAAATATTAACTACCCACTATACTTTTTACGCGGTAGACACACGCTGCAACTTGATAATAGTTGCAGTACGAATTAGTCGTCTCGACCGGAGAAGGATCACGCTCTTACAGAATACCACTGTGAAATAGCATTTCGTATGGTGAGTATAGTGAACCGCAGAACCATTCAACTGGTAACGATGCATTTTATTTTAGTCCTCATAGATGATAACGTATCTGCTATTTGATATTTAATCGAAGACAGATGTACCTATCTACGGGCCACCACATCCACTTGCCATCAGAGTGTTCGTAGGTCACCCTTATTCTATGAAATAGAAAGCTTCGAATCGGCAGCTCATATGTTTTTATATGACTTGGATCTACAACCTACCTACCAACCTATTACGTATAGTAAATAAAGTAAGTAAATTAAGTTTTAAAATAAAGTTTTGGTAAATCCAAATTTGCATGTCTTAAGTGCTCATCCTATACGTCAATATTTTAAAGTATTTTAAATACACACAAGCTTTCACAAATAACCTTATTACTATTACCTCTAATATTATGTCAAACGTCAATAAAAAAAACTTTGTAAAATCCAAATGTGCACTACTCTTAATGATCATATTATGATAGCGAAAAAATGTAAAAAAAATCTCAATTAACCATAGAAAATATTTTTTTATTGTTTTTTATTGAAAAAACTTTTCACAAAATTATCGTAACACGATCAGAGATCTACTTTAACATTACTTTAATTTTTAGGTATTTGTAGTCAGGCATTATCGTAAAAACTCTTTTTTACCTGACTCGTTAATAAAAGAAATTCTCATCAACTTTATTTCGTTTTCAAAAAGTTTTTCATCTAGTCATTACAACTAGTATTTTAATTATCACTCACCAAAGTATACCTTCAGGTCACTCCATAAAGTCCAAGACGTATAAGAATATTTATAAATAAATGCGACGTACTTTTACCGAAACAATATATTGTACGAGTAATGAAAATCTGTGAGTATTTAAATAATAATAATATCTTGTTTTTGGAATATTTTGCAATTCGACAGCGATAGATATTTTTCATCACGAACCGCTGTAAACATGCGATACAGCAACCCACTCACGACGGTGGCCAAGTCCGGAGTGAGTCAAAGTGTGTCCGTATTTAGTAAAATATATTATTACAAGGCTGCTCAAACACTGAAAATTTCAGAATTTTTAGCAAAAATATTAATTATACTAAAAAATATTTACAGTCATTTACATTCCATGGCTTCCCTCGTGATAGATGAAGGGATTAAAAAAAGATTGAGTTGAGCAATTGATATTTTCAAAAGTTGTCATGTTTATCCCTCCATACGACTTGATAAATCTGCACCATAAGCCACTAAAACCACTGTTTTAATGTAAGAATAGCAATTAAGCAGATTTAAAAAAAAATGAGTCAAACAATCATTTATCTTTCTGAAAATGTGCTTTTTATATTATTTAAATATGTTCAATATGATTGTTAGATAGGATTTCATGCGGCAAAAGGTTAGATTCTTGATTTTTAGGCGCTAGTAGAACATACCTACGCACTTTGCGCTTAAGGCATGCAATACGTTCTGTTATTTAAGATTATAAAGAACAGTTTGGATAGTCTGATGGTGGCATATAAAAATCCATCACTCAATTTCGTGCCATTGTTGTAGTGAGAGACGAATATTGGAAAGGCAAAAAAGATGCGGTATCCTATTTTGTATGTACAGGATGTAAGGTACTAGTACCTGGGAGCAAAGCGTGAAAGGTTTACTAGGTGGTAGCACTCCTTTTCTGTCTCGCAGTCCTTCTGATTAGGTACCTCTTACTTCCTGCCGCCAAATAGCATGCAAGCAGTATTGCTGTGCTCCGGTTTCCATAGCTGCGATTTGGTCAACCACGGTGAATTAAGAAGAACCTACACCGCTCTGTGTGGACTTGGCGAGCCCACTTGGATGTGTGTTGGTGGAGTCGTGCCTTGTGTTGTGGTTCGCCTTGCCTGAAAAGAAGGGGTGAAGAAGTCCTCTCCCAAGAAGGTTAACGGCGCTAGTGAGTTCACGGAATTGTGCGCAAGCGTTCCCGTGGCCTTGCGATTATGCGACGAAGGTGGCACACTATGGGGTTTTAGTCGGTGCGAGTGCGACATGACCCGTCATTTTACCAACGAGGCGGGTATGCTTAGGTGTTTCCCCGTGTGTCTATGGATTGCAGTAGCCACTTACCATCAGATGGACTGTAAGTTTGTTTGTCGCTACAGTTATATAAAAGTAATGCCAGACGTTTGGTACTGAGATCGACAAAATATTTACCCTTCCCCTAGATCATTTCAAACAACCCTTACCCGCATATGCCATGTGACCTTTTATTGTGGTATGTACTATCTTTATTAAAAAAATAAAGCCTTGGAATTTCATTAATTGCTCAGGCTTGGAGGAAGCCGGCGGTGTTACGCAACGAGCGCGTGGAACATCGTGCTGCAAGTGCGGTCACAGCTTCACTGAACACACCGCACTGCAGCGACATCTCAAGTAAATATTTCATTTCGATTTCGTTTGTGTGGAAAAATATTTTTTCGATAACCTAGGCAAACCTAGTCTCCGTTGAGACTGGCCGCCGGACCGAAATTCGGTCTGGAGGATATTATTGTAGGAATCCTTTTCCCCCTTAGACCATAGGTGTTCTTAGGTTTTGTGTAATAAAAGTTCTTGAAACGATCCTTTGAGTCACGTACATAGTCGTACACAACTTAAGAGTTTACATACACGTACACATGTTTGGTGTGTTTTAAGACCAAAACAAACCCGAAAACTTCTATTCATACAATAAAAACCAGTACATCAGTTTCATTTATAGAATTAGTACCGCAGTTGGCGATCACGTTTTTTCGATTAATAAGGGAGATCATCAGGGTCACTTTCTGAGTCTTAAACTCGTTAATATTAATGATTTCTTATATTTACGTGAACACTACACATTGGTTAAAAATACTTTGCAAAGTTTGCAATCTAAATAATATTAAAGAGGATTTTATCGCGTTTAATTTATTTTATGAAACGATTTATGAAATTTTACGAAATGAACTTACTGTGTTTTGGAAGTCATTCTGCATAGATCGGACCAAAAACAATAATTAAAAAGTTAAAGGTACTCCGGGTTAGCACTGACATCGGGAAATATTTTTTGTTATTTTTTATTGAAAAAAACTTCACAAAATTATCGTAACACGATCAGAAATCTACTTTAACATTACTTTAATTTTTAGGTATTTGTAGTCAGGCATTAGGTTATCGTAAAAACTCTTTTTTACCTGACTCGTTAATAAAAGAAATTCTCATCAACTTTATTTCGTTTTCAAAAAGTTTTTCATCTAGTCATTACAACTAGTATTTTAATTATCACTCACCAAAGTATACCTTCAGGTCACTCCATAAAGTCCAAGACGTATAAGAATATTTATACGTAAATGCGACGTATTTTTTAGCGAAACAATATATTGTACGAGCAATGAAAATCTGTGAGTATTTAAATAATAATAATATCTTGTTTTTGGAATATTTTGCAATTCGACAGCGATAGATATTTTTCATCACGAGCCGCTGTAAACAAACGATACAGCAACCCACTCATGACGGTGGCCAAGTCCGGAGTGAGTCAAAGTGTGTCCGTATTTAGTAAAATATATTATTACAAGGCTGCTCAAATACCGAAAATTTCAGAATTTTTAGCAAAAATATTAATTATACTAAAAAATATTTACAGTCATTTACATTCCATGGCTTCCCCTCGTGATAGATGAAGGGATTAAAAAAAGATTGAGTTGAGCAATTGATATTTTCAAAAGTTGTCATGTTTATCCCTCCATACTACTTGATAAATCTGCACCATAAGCCACTAAAACCACTGTTTTAATGTAAGAATAGCAATTAAGCAGATTTAAAAAAAATGAGTCAAACAATCATTTATCTTTCTGAAAATGTGCTTTTTATATTATTTAAATATGTTCAATATGATTGTTAGATAGGATTTCAGATTTCTTTGAATCACGTACATAGTCGTACACAACTTAAGAGTTTACATACACGTACACATGTTTGGTGTGTTTTAAGACTAAAACAAACCCGAAAACTTCTATTCATACAATAAAAAGCAGTACATCAGTTTCATTTATAGAATTAGTACCGCAGTTGGCGATCACGTTTTTTCGATTAATAAGGGAGATCATCAGGGTCACTTTCTGAGTCTTAAACTCGTTAATATTAATGATTTCTTATATTTACGTGAACACTACACATTGATTAAAAATACTTTGCAAAGTTTGCAATCTAAATAATATTAAAGAGGATTTTATCGCGTTTAATTTATTTTGTGAAACGATTTATGAAATTTTACGAAATAAACTTACTGTGTTTTGGAAGTCATTCTGCGTAGATCGGACCAAAAACAATAATTAAAAAGTTAAAGGTACTCCGGGTTAGCACTGACATCGGGATGTCAGTCACCTCCGCCTCCGTGACCATGGTTGTTGGAAAGCACCCGAAACGTCGTGTATTAAAAATACAATAAATTAAACACGATAAAATCCGTAAATGTACTCTTTAATATTGTTAGATTGCAAACTTTGCAAAAAAAAAAAATAATACGGCCTTCCTTTATGTAACTGATGATAATGTATTTATTGATTAGGATAGCATATGACTAAAGAAGCTTTTTAGATTTTAACTCGGCCGGGTCAAAATTTATATTTGAAACAGAATTCACGGCATACGGACACGAAAATGAAAAGTTTCAATTTAATTGATATTTGAAATTAATTACATTAATCGTGCAGCACAGCGTGGCTACACGGCTTGAACAATGAAATTATTAACACGATAGCGTTAAAGCCGTTTTCTAACTAACGCTATAATATTATATATCCTTTTCTCATGTTCTTGAACGAAGTTTCCGTAACTGGCCTAAAACGATGATTTGGAAGTGATTAAAAATGAGGGGGCTAACTTTAGTTCGTTATGAAAGCAATATCACCAGTCTGTCCATCAGTTCCGAGTGCTCATTAATATTAAATATACATTTAATACAGGGAGGTCCACGGCCACGAAAGTGAGGTCCGTACTGGTCGGGCACACCCGTGCGGAGTGTGCGGGCGCGTGTTCCGGTCCGCGTCCGTACGCAACGAGCACCTGCGCGTGCACACCGGGGAGCGGCCCTTCCCGTGCGACGTGTGCGGCGTCGCGTTCCGACGGTAAGTGCGGTGCTTTGCAGTACTGTGTGACACAGCACGGCAGTACTGTGTGACGCAGCACAGCGCGTGCACACCGGGGAGCGGCCCTTCCCGTGCGACGTGTGGGCCCTTCCGACGTAGTGCGGTGCGTTGCAGTACTGTGTGACACAGCACGCCGGCAGTACCCTGTGTGACGAAACACAGCACAGCAGTACTGTGTGACACAGCACAACAGTACTGTGTGACACAGTACATTGCGTGCACACCGGCGAGCGAGCTATACCAAGAGTTTTTTTGAGTATTTGAAAAATTTATCAAATAAATGGCTTTGATGATTTTCTTACTAATTTTTTGATTAATAACACCACATTAATAGATCCTATCATTCGGAAGCCGGCGCTAGTCGCGAGTTAAAAATTTGAGTACCTAATATTTCGTGGCACTGCGGCAGGTCGACCGCGATGCGCAACCACCGGCTCATCCACTCGGACGTGCGCGCGTGGGCGTGCGGCCGCTGCCCCAAGCGCTTCCGCATCCGCTCCGACCTGCGCACGCACTTGCGACTGAAGCACCCCACGCAGCTCATTGTCATCGAGGTAACTACTTTTTTTCGACCTTATCTCCAAATAGATAGGGTACTTTTTACTACGGCTAAATAAAAGTTACTGAGGGAAAATGAACATTTTCTCTTCTGTTACCGCAGGTAGTAGCCAGATAGTAATGGAAAATAAACGTCATTTTTCTTTATGCATTATTACAACAATGTCCTAGTATTACCGTCAGTGTATCCATTCGTTCATTACGGCCCTCAGAAAAGTACTGCGTGCATTTTACATGACACAAAAATTAAGTTAAAACTTTGCTCAACTTATTGTAACAACTGTTAAAATATATGCATGTTAACTATGAACATCGACGTGGTTTCAGGTGCATATGTGTGCGTCCGGCAGGGAACTTTTACAGGCTAATAAAGACAAAGAAGAAAGATGTGCACAAAAAATTGTGCTTGAAATGTACGAAGTGCAACACAACACGAGTAAAATACAGCCTAGCAAAAGTACACTACTGAATATAGGTCTATATTATTGATGGATCTCATTAGGCGGTATTTGCCATAGTTGTCATGTTTAGCAGGTGGATTGACAACCACTTTTTTTATTATCTATCATTACAATCATTTATATTTATCATGAGAATGCTTCTGTAGATCTCCTGTTTAAGTTCCTCTTTGTCGCCACTTACGAAACCCGCAAGATGACTTTCGGTGGATTCTCTTTCGTTGCCACTACACGGCCAATGAATATATTGTTCCAAGCCATAATGCCACTAGCGCCATCTAGTGTCGGGTAGCAGAGCAAGGAGAGCTTTCTAGAAAGTTCCATGCTAGAATTTACCCACTAGCGTCATTTATTATCGAGTGGCGGAACTGGGAGGTAACTTTCTACGCCTAGTCTTAACAATAATAATATTTATTAAAAAAGCGGTCGTTTTTTTATAATGTATTTGCCTTTTTTCATATGCCAGGTCGCCGGTTTGAATCCCACTCAAGAAGAACTGAAGCAACATCTCCGAAACAACAACATTCCGCAGGACCGCATCATCGAGATTACCAAAATGTCATTTGAGAAGGTATTTTGGATGTCCAATAAAGTTACAGTAAAGCCACAACAAAGATAAAGATACAGTTCAAAGCCACAATAAAAATTCGCCAGGTCTTCTCATCGCAAATACCGCAAAGCTTCAACACGAAAGACTTCGACCTGTGCATCCTTCCAGCGAATACAAGAGTAGTCTGATTAAAGTCCTAAACAGATCAACACATATTTCTCATTTGACATGTTACTCACATTTGGTAATGAAACGTGGATGTTAACAGTACGACTGCTTAGCAAACTTGAAGTCACCCAGAGAGCAATGGAAAGAGCTTATAGTTTCTCTGATGGGTAACCGACGTGCTTTCCGTATTTGCAAGCTGAAGTAGCAATGGGCTTCTGGACTGTCGCAGAATCGATAACCGTTGGAGTAGACGTGTCATAGAGTAGAGAACGCGCTTAAGTAAACGCAGTGTGGGTTGCTTCCTGGCTAGATTTCCTTCCTGGCGGCTGGTAGCAACTGGGTGCGGGAAATGAAGATCGGGCTAAGTGGCATTACTTGGGAGAGGCCTATGTCCAACAGTGTATTGCCACAGGCCGATGATGATGATGATGATGATGATGATGATTGTGAAAGTTACAGCTTATCTGCGTCCCCCATTCCTGGACACAGACCTCCTCTCATTGTTGAGAGGGTTTTAAGACAAGGAAGCCCTAATTACGTGTTGATGGACGGTTACGGTTTTTGATTTTTTTTTAAATTTCTTAGACATTTATATTTCGTTATGGTATTTTCCTTCACCACCGATCACACGGTGAACTAATAATTAAAATTAACAATTTCTTTGGTGTCTGCGGGAATCGAACCCGGGTTGTTCGCGTTGTGTAAAATGTATAGCAAGCATTTAGCCTCTGACCTACCACGCCTTTAAAATTCAACTAATTGCAGATTTGTCTTACCAATATTATAGATATATAGTTTAAAATTTAATGTAAATAAACTATTTACATTAAATTTTAAACTTATATACGTGGTAGAGCCATGGTGCAAGTATATTAGTAGTATAGTTGTAGCACAAATGGGTCGGCTCGACCGCGGAAGGACCACGCTCTCACAGAATACCAGCCTAAAATAGCACCTTACCGCTGCTCTGCTCTGTATGGTGAGTGTAGAGAACGGGAGACCCTTTTTGCTGGAAACGGGGCTTTCCATCTTAGTCCTCAGGGGTGACAACGCATCTGCATTTTTGATTCGTATTTGTGTATAGATGTAGGTGTCCATAGACTACAGCAACTTTGTCACCTTATCCCGTAAGTAAAATTAAGGTTTTATCGCGTTTAATTAACTCTTTTTAAATCCCGACGTTTCGAATGCTTTACAGCACCCGTGGTCACAGTAGGGACTGAGATGAAGACTTACCTTCAGTTTTTTAATATTAATTTTTTGTCCGATCTACGCAAAACGAGCTTATAGTATCTTGAAATCATAATGACGATAATGATTTCTTATATTTACGCGAACACTACACATTTAAATAATGCTAGTTTTTACGGATTTTATCGCGATCCTGTACGTGTTCACAGACTGCAGACTTCCCGGAGCGTCGATTCTTCACATCAACTATATGTTCTTTAACGCGGGTTTTTTTGATCTTTTAGTTAGTCCTATGTAGTAGAGACCACATTCACAATCAAGATTGTACACTCCTGTAAAATATAATAATGATGATGTTTGAGAAAAAGTGTGATCTACCCTGTTAGGTTACTGATAAAGTTTAAAATGCAGGGTAGCAGCAGTATAGTGCCGACGAGCGCGCGGGCGCTGTCCCTGCTGAGTGCCGTGCCCCGCACCAAGATCACCTGCGATGCTCCCACACCATTGAATGCAGGTGCGTATGTTGTTTAAAAGTTAAGAGCAAAATCACTGGATTTTTGTAACTTATTATACAACGTGTTACAAACACGCCACTTGTGTTTGGAACCCTTATTATGAAAAATATCGTGATCAGCTGGAATTGGTACAACGTAAATATCTTCGGTTTTTAAACTATAAATGCTTTAGGAAATGGTCATCGTATATCACTCATTTAGACAAATTCTCAATTTCCACTCTAAAAATGAGATTATATTTTGAGCAGTTATTCTTATACAAAATCTGTCATAATAAATCAGATTGTAATAAACTCATAAATCAAATATATCTACGCATATCTAGTCGGTCCCAACGCATTCGTAATACGTATAGTCATCGTTTATTTGCTTCTAAGATGTGCCGAACAAACGCGGGAAAGAGAGCTCCACTACGGCGTATCATGAAATCGTATAATGATAACTTTACTGATCTTGACATATTTGCTTTATCATTTGTAATGTTCAAAAAGTGTATTTTAAAAAAAATTACTAATAAGTAAAGTATTGCCTTAAGGCTTAAACAGTTTATTAATGATTCAACTGTTGTTTCTAGGGGCAAGTTTCGGCTAGCATAGCCACTACAGTGGTTGATTTGCTCAGGGAACGCTCGAATTATTCATCTTTTGTGGTATCATACAACATGTTTGCTGTGCATTATTATATTACTTTTATTGCGATATTACTTTGTGGATAACGGTGCTAGTTGTGTAATTATTTGTATTTCCCTTTTTATAAGACCTGTATTTTGTATTATATTTTATTACACAATTGTTTCTTGTCCTGAATAAAATAAAATAAAATAAAAATAAAAACCCTGTGGTTCCCGTATAGTTCGTTATCAGAATCAGTAATAAAACTTGTATTTGGAATTTCTAATTTAGAAAACTTAACCATAAAATTAAATTAAATTTATATACATTTTTATTTCATATTTTCATACAATTTTTATCGCGTCTGTAGAGGACGTAAACGGAATTGTGTTTTATCGTACTGTAATGTGTATAGGTAGGTAAGCAAGATAATCAAAATAAATTATAATACTATAACTAAATACCATTTCTACTGAGAACTATATTTGAGACTATTCGATGTAGCTCGAGGAATTATCCATATAAAGGAATTAAGATTGTAATAAGATCATACCATGTAACTTCAAGATAGTCATTGGACACGTCACGGGAATATTAACTTTTCTTTGTTAGAATTAAACATATAAGAACTGTTACATTTTAATAAAGTAGTCTTATTTCAACCATCGCCATAAGTCTTTCGTTTACCCAATGGCTCAGACCATTAAACCCAAGGAGAAAGCTTTAAAATATCAATTAAAATGTATTTGTATTTTATTATAAATATGCAACAAGATAACATTTAGTCAACGGTTAATCATATTTAAAAACCATTTATACGTCCTTTTTTATCCAAATTATAATATTTAAAAAATCTTTCACGTATTAATATATGAAAATATCATATTAATTTGAAAGTTAGATCACAAATCAGTTTACATATTTTTTTCTAAACATTTGGTTCCAGAAATATCTAAATTTGAGATTATTTTACTGTGGTTTACTATTGTAATCCACTCGACAAATGTAGGGTTACTGTTTAATCTCATTAACTCATAACTTTTTCTATGTGGATGTGTTTAACCTACATGTGTGCGTAAAATGTTATAGTGTTGGAGATTTACATTTGTGTGTGCCATAATGACACAAAATTTTATTGAGTAGGTGTGCAGTACCGTCTATGTTTCCTGCCGAATGCTGAATTTTTTGTACGTAGCATTAGGCGCATTACTCGTCCATTGGGTGAATGGTCTAACTCCAACGGCTCCCACATATAAATACAAAGTTACTCGGAAATAAGTCGAATTATTTCGATTTCGATACGATAGAAAATTTATGCTTAGGGCGCTAGTATACCTATACGTACCGGGAATCCACTCCATTTAGGTTCATAAATGCGTAAAGGCGACTATTAGTCATGCTAAAAAGATCTCATGGCTTCCGGTTTCATTTAAGCGGGGCGTAAATACCAGATCGGGGACAGTAATCAGCGTAAAAAGTGCGATTCGTCTGGGGCTGCGATTTGCTTTTACTTATTAACCGCCTGCCAAACGCGACGCTTAAAAACCTTTCCTACAGTTGGAAACATAAGTCCACTGCACATTATACTGCCATCTATCGAAAACCACTGGAGTTTTCAGCATTTCTGTAGTCGCCTAGTTGATTGAAATATAGTGCAAGAAATCAATATATGCTCGTCACTCTGGTTTGTTTACCGTGTAGTTCTGGTGTAAGAATGTCTACTACTCCATATTATCCCGTGGGTGTCGTAAGAGGCGACAGAGGGAATCAAATCAGGAGATGGGCTATAGCGCCTTCCTAATAACGACTAAAAATAAAAAACTTCGGTTGGCCACCCGTTTGCCAAGTGTGGCATCTATGGGGTAAGCCTTTGTTCAGCAGTGGACTTAAACAGGTTGTAAGGGTAATCCTGGTGACGCTTGTGACAGACGAGCTATCAGTCCACCTGACAGTAAGCAGCTATTGCAGCTAATGACACTTGTAACCAACTTCAACTAAGAAAGCGCAATGATATTAACGCGGCGTTTCATCGTCCTCAGGTGTGGGTGACGTATTAGCATTTTAATTCTTAACCGAGGATCATCCACTTGCCATTAGATGGATTGAGACTCGTTCACGCTCTCAAGTATTAAAGAATGAGGCTCAGAATGCCTAAAAAGAAAATAAGTATTGTAAGGTAGTTAATTGCTAGTTAACGTACTAACTATGGACTGTAGAGGTAAGGAGTACAGACTCTGTATAAAAAAGTGTCCGTAGGAAAGCGTTAAATAAGGGTGGCGCCACTGTAGCTACAGTCCAAATTTTAAAAAACTTATTTTAATTTTTTGATTGCACAGACTTTCACCATAATTATTTTTACAATAAATTATTTTATTGTTGTCAAAATTTTTATTTTCAAAATCACTTTCAACGTATTTTACGGCGATTTAACATACCCCGTAGCTACCGGAGCGCTGTAGTGGAGAACTGTTATTTACTGCTTACAGATGGACAATTTTTTAACTATTCTCCTATGGGAGTGGGTACTCCTTAATTCTTACTTCATAGTACTAGCGCCTCAGGATAAATAATAGTACTACGTACTAACGCACTGTCACATTTTGACTCATCTGACATTGACACCTCTGTGTTTATGGTATGTTAACGTTGCGTTTCTTTCACTTAATGTTAAGTAAATTATACATTTCTTTCCATATTGCTGGCCGGTAGTTTACTGATGACTTATTTATTTTTGAATTATTTATTTTATACATATATTTAGTAATCGGGTATAATTTAATATGATTTCTTCAGATGATAGAGTTCGGAGTTCCAATTCCTTTGCCTTGGATTCTGCTTCTAAAGGACTAAGCAACATTGATAGCTTTGAAAGTATTGAACCTTTAAATATTACGTTGGCTTATATTTCTTTCTGAATTTATCAAAAACTTTAACGCTATTTACATAAATGCTCAAAGTATTCCTAATAATTACCGCGTCATGTTGTCAAGTTTTAATAGCAAAATCATACACGCTATCCTTGTTTCGCAGTCATGGTTAAAACCATGTCCTCCGTCAACATCCTACTCCCTTCAGTTTTTCATTTGATTCGTAACGACTTCCAACACCACTTATCCAGGTAAGACACACCATCGACGATAAAACGATACGTGTTTCGCCTCTACACGAGACATCCTTAGGTGATGTAGACTCTACGGCTCTAAGTATAGAGTTCTTAGCGGTCAGCCGCTTAGTTAGCGGAAGGTTGCGAAGTAATTAATGTTTTTTATTTTTTTTATATTAAAATTTGTTAAGTGTCGTACTATTTCCAATACTATGTTTATATAATTAACAATATATTTATTTAATTTACATAAATAACATAAACACTCACGCCTGTCACCCATAGGGGTAGGCAGAGACTGCGGACACCTCTCTCGCCTCCTTTACATCCATATATCTACGCATACATGCTCGTCGGTTAAGGGTACTTCTTAACCGACGAGCATGTATGCGTAGATTATTTAATTTAAATATATTTATTTATTATTTATATATTTGGGCTTTGCAAATATGATCTCATCTCTGAATTACTAGCTCATATGGCTCCCGATCCGCCTTCGCAGGAATACTCACATTCTCTTCGCATTGTATGGCGTGCCGTTTAATCCTTCCACTCCTTTTTATTTAAAAGACCGTTTGCAGTATCTTTCCCTTACACATAATCGGTTCCTTTGATCCTCTGTCAATCTTTCTCTCTCTACTCCTTTGCACTCTTCCTTCTTTTTAAGAAATCCTTTACTGTAACTGCTCTGCGTTTGCGGAACTCTTCACCTCTCCACATTCGGCGTGCAAGTCTTGTTAAATCGTGTTACTTAGAACGCTATTAGATATTACTTTTCCTTTTTCGTACTCTTTTCATTTAACCTATTTCATATTATATATAATTTTCAGTTATTGCTTTATTTATATATATTTTCGTAACTTTTTGTCCCCTTCTCCTCTGTTTTAACTATTTTTTCATCAGTTCTCTACGCAAAGGTTATCTGGAAAAGATCAGAGTGATAAGACCGCCTGTTGTATATATTCTACTTTATATTTAACTGTACCCGATATTTTGTATTTTGGTGTACAATAAAGAGTAAATAAATAAATAAACAATTTCTTAACCCAAGTGCAATATACTTTTTCTTTTTGTGGTCAACTCGGTCTCGTATTAAAACCTTACGGTTTTCCACCTATTCGCCATATATCGCACACATTCTCACAACTTACCATCCATTACTCGGCGGAAGAAAACTCCTCCCCATATTCCTCCTCAGGTAAAATCATCTCTGAGTAATGTTAAAAGATTAAATGAACGCAAGTGATGCCCGTAGTCTCAATTGGACCGTGTTATGCAGAAATGATTGAAACCCACGCACTGGCCAAAAATGATCCGGAGGCTCTTTTTCACTTTATTTCCAAGTGTAAAAGACTTCCGAAAAACAACAAATATTCCCAAAATCCATACTCAATTTACTTTAAAACTATATACATAACACGATATAATAGGGCTTCTGTCACAAGTAAAATACATTTATGTTTCAAATCTGAATAGTTTCATGTTGTTGTGTGTTGAAACATTTCTGCATAACACGGTCCAATTATCTTTGTGGCATGTAACTCAATAAATAATTGTAATTATTTCAGAAATGTTCCAACCAGCCCGTCGTGGTAGAGGAATTGCTAAGAATCCAAGGAGACCGAAAATCCTACAAGGTTCCCATGATGAGGAGAATTTGGCCACAAATTATCCCATATCCATTGACGCCAGTGGCGAGGTTAGTGTGTTCAATATTAATCGATATACACTTTTTACTATTACTATTAAATAAATAAATGAATTTTTTCTTTTTGGCGTCAGTTGTTAACTTTTGCCACTACCATAGACATAAATATTAAAAAATAACAGTGATAGTTGTTTTTTTAACTTCTGTCACTTTAGACCAGTTTTTATCAAGCAAAATTAATTTATTTATTTACACTTTATTGCACCATAAAAAGATTGCAAAGGGCGGACTTCATGCCATTAGGCATTCTCTCCCAGTCAACCCGGGACGTGTGGAAATTATGTGATAGGTGACAAAATAAAATGAACAATAGAGTAAATCAAGGAAAAAAAACTACTGATAAACTTAAAAACAAACTAATATTATATATACAAATACAATAAACTTATATACTCCAAAATATAATACAGATAACATATAATATATACATACATATTCATAGATACATAAATATATACATATTTTAAATACAAATAGATATATAATATAAACCTATAAATAAAATAACAACAAAGGTAACCAAAATTAACCATATTAACTATCATCTAATATTTTCATAAAATGCTTATGTACCAATCTTTTAAAGGCAGTCTTATTATATGTTTTTCTGACGTCATCGGGCAAGGAGTTCCAGAGCAGTGTAGCCTGAATTGTGAAGGATTTACCAACAAAATTAGTAGAATGTAGAGGGATACTTAGTTTATTATTATATGAGGAACGCAGAGTTCTATCATGCGTTAGGGAAATATATTGAAATTTCTCCTTGAGATAAGAAGGAGTGGATGGATCATTTAAGATAGAGAAGAGAACAAGCAAAATTCCTAGAGTCACGCCTCTGTTTAATAGTGAGCCATTTTAGGCGAGAGCGATAGTGAGAAATATGATCAAATTTACGGAGATTGAAAATGTATCTGACGCAATTGTTGAGAAGGCGCTTTAGCTTGTTGAGAAGATTTTGGTTTAAATCCGGGTAACACACGTCTGCATAACCAATGATTGGTAGTATAAGTAACTGTACAAGCATAATTTTAGTCTTAAAGGGGAGAAAATTTTTCAATCGATAAAGAGAACGTAAAGAACCAGAGGCTTTACGACATGTTTCGGAGATATGAACCCCCCCAGGACAGAGTACTATCAATATGGAGACCAAGATTTTTAACTGAGGGAGAGAACGGTATCAGTCGATCATTATAATAGACGGGAGGTAGACTAGCGGCATCTATTTTAGCAAGCATCCTTGAGCTACCCACAATCAACGCTTGGCATTTCGTAGGGTTGACAGACACTCCAAAACGCATAGACCAATCACAGACTGACTTGAGATTTGAATTCAATTTATTAATCGCATAATGGATGTCAGAAATGTCAGACTGTACATAAATTTGTAGGTCATCAGCATACAGATGGTACGAACAATCAATATTAGATGTGATGGAATTAATAAAAATAGAGAAGATTAATGGAGAAAGTATACCGCCTTGCGGTACGCCAGAAATCAGGTCAACCCACTGTGAAGTCATTTGCTCCACGTGGACAGACTGTTGACGTCCGCGAAGATAAGATGAGAACCATTCCAGGACTGACGGTGCAAACCTATAATAAGAAAAGATAGCAAGAAGGGATATCATGATCAACTGTGTTAAAAGCATTAGAAAAGTCAACGAGCACCACAACTGTAACTTTCTTGTTTTCCATTCCTTCTCTAATGTCTTCAGTTATTTTAAGTAAGGCAGTTGTAGTGCTGTGACCAGGACGAAAGCCGGACTGAAAAGTACTCAGCAGGTTATGTTTATATATGAAATTGGAAATTTGCTTATGAACACAGGCTTCCAAAACTTTAGATAGGAAAGGTAAAACTGATATGGGACGGAAGTGATTGGGAAGTGTGGGATTGGATACTTTAGGAAGGGGTCTAACGAAAGCATTTTTCCACTGACTCGGAAACTGACCCGAGTCAAGCGAAAAATTTACAATATGTGTGATTGCGGAGATAATGTGTTCTAGAATATTAACAATCATGGCTCTGCTAATATCATCGCAACCGACAGCCTTGGATTTTATTGCCAGAAGGATCTTTCTGATTTCATCCTGATCTACAGGATTAAAAAGAAAGACTGGTATCTGTGGAGACGGAATTGAGACTATGTAAGTGACTGTTTGGGATCGGATTGAAAGGCCAAATACAGAAGTAAAAGCAAAATGAAGATTTAAAGCATCATGAGAAAGAGATAAACCACTATCCAAAGAAGATATTTTGCCCACACCTAGAGAACTAAGAAATTTCCACACATCAGCTGGCGAAGAATTACTTATATTGCTATGGATAAATCGGCGTTTTGCAGAACGTACCATCTGATTGCATCTGTTTCTGGCCTTCTTAAAAGACAACCAGTTTTCCTCAGATCTGCTCCTCTTGAACCGGGCAAATGCTCGATTTCGCCTAGTCATGGCCTTCCGTACCTCTTCAGTCATCCAGGGAGCTGGTGGCCGTCGTAGTTTCACTTTACGTACAGGAGCATGGATATCATACAAAACATGAATTATGTTATTGAAAATAGTTACTTTATCATCTACTGTTGATGCAGTTGCTAATGGCGTAAAATCTATAAGCGATACGTCTTTCAAAAGCTTATCCATATTAATTTTACTAAAATTACGTAGGAATAGTACAGTAGGTCGATATTTGGGAGGTTTAAGGTTGTATGATACATAAATAAGATCATGGCGGGAAAATCCCGGCGCTTCAAGTTGCCCATATGACAGCACCCTGTCAGAGGAGTCAGTTATAATGAGATCAATCAGAGAGTCATCAGTGTCGATATTATGATGAGTTGCCTTTAAAGGAAGAATATTGAGATTGACAGACTCAATGACTTTACGAAGCTTTTGAGACCGGACAGAATTTTTCAGTAAATCCGTGTTGAAATCTCCCATGATTATGCAGTGCGTGTACTCAGAACCAATGTTATCAAGAGCCTCTTCTAAATTGGCGAACTAATCAGTGGAAGGAGGACAATACACTGCTCCAAGAATCATCCTTGAGCCCTTTACATCAAGTTCTATAAAAAGAAATTCTGCAGAAGCAGTGTAAGGAGAAGGGGATGCTAATATGATTTTGTAAGAAATAGTAGCGTGGAGATATATTGCAACCCCACCTCCTCCTTTATCTATACGATCATTCCTAATCAGCACAAACCCAGGAAGAGGATACAATGCCGAATTTAAAGACGGTTTCAACCAAGTTTCTGAAACTAAGATAGCATGTATATTGTTGTTAGAGAACGATGCTTCTAGCTCAGAAAAGTGGCTGGGAATGGTTTGTGCGTTAATATGGCAAACATTTAACGTTCTATCAAAAAAGTGAAAAATGCTGTTCAATTGGCTACTTAAAGAGGGCACACTGTAATTCGTCTGATCGTCAAAAGATTCAAAAGAACTCTCTGACTCAATAGAATAAAAAGAGTCAGAGTCAGACATGATAAGTTAAAAGCATAATATACCCAATATAAAAATAAATAAAATAAAAATATATAAAAATACGATATTAAATAAAAATATTTATCAATAATATATATAACAAAAATACTACCAAGATATAAAAAACAGTGACTTAAATAGTAATAAATCATTAAACATCATCCCCCCAGTTAACTGTTTACATAATATAATCAGTACTAAATAACAAATAAAACAATTGTACTGAACTATCAATTAAAAAAAACATAAGCTAAGTAATTAAATAGCGTGCCAACACAGTGATTCAATTATAAACAAAAATAACATAAATATTAAAATAAGACAACTAAATATTTTAATAGCAGGGCACTACAGAATTAATCGAAAAATTAGCAATAAAAATCAGCTTAATCACAAGATTTTGAAACCCAATTAGTTAAAAACATCCAGAAAATTTAAATCTCACAAGAGTACATAATTCAGCTGTGTGGCAAAAGGATCTGCGCCCATGTTACCATTACTGTGTTGACAGTAAAAGTTATTATCTATGGTCAACAGTCTTTGCCTTGTCTATGCCTAGCTCTAGCATCTACGGACTACAATAACATTTATCTATGATATTTGGTTACATTTTAACACTTTTACATGATAAAAATAATAAACACAAACTAATTTACTAAAGTTTACAAATATAAAGTTACTACAGTATAACAATAAAATAATAAAACTAGCTAATAACATAAAACTATTGGAATATGAATAAAGGAAAATACTAAAGACAAGTTATAGCAAATTAGTTACATACAATTGGACTACAATCGATTTATATTCTTGTCTAATGCTGCCGGTTAATAAAACTAAAAATAGTTATTATGTTACCAGACAAAGTAAACTATAAGAGAAGGAAAAATACGAAAGGAGATGAACATAACCAAAAATACGATTCTTGTAGTTTTTACTCCATTTACTTCACTACAATAGTTGTTCCTTGTACTCAGGTTATCGTAGAATTATTATTTTTTCGTTTTTAGAAACATACAATACGTTACTTGACGTGACAAAATCCAAACAGGTATGATAATCAAACGCACCAACCAACAAATTGAACATCCATTTTTTTATAAAAAAAATATTAGCAATGATATCAATATCACTTATTTTCCCTTTAACCACTCCTGGTAAGCTTAAAACGCTTGTGTTAGGAGTGGTTCACCACAGTAGTCGAAATGTGGATTCGAACCCACGAACTTTTGAGTTCGCAGTCTGTACCCTGCTATTAGGCTACTGTCGTGTGACTGTCCCGTGGTGCCATTTAAAACAACGTCTTTTATTAACCGTTATAGTCCAGTAAATGACTATAGTAGACGCCCACCCGAAGTGTTGATTTAGCAGAAGATCGTAAAGCGCAATGCCTTAGCTTAACAAAAGCCCGCGTTGGAACTGGCTGCCCTGACCGGAATTCGATCTGGAGGACATTAATACATTTTAAAAATTCGTATTTCCTCATTACGAGGCCCAACATGTATTAAAACCGTCGTTGCAGTAGTAATTTCCCGTTTCCAGGAGTTATCAGAGCTAAATGTCCAGCTGCTGCTGCGTGAGGGGGCGCTGGTGAACGGAAACCAGATGGTACAGCTGCAACTGGAGGATGACATGCTTCTAGAATAATTTAGATTGAAAATTAATTAGAATTTATGTTCTATTCACACATCAGTTTTCTGCTGTTTAGTATAGTCTGTTTGCTTATATACGACTACCTTTATGTCATGCCGCCTTGGCACGTGCCGCATCTTGTCAAAGGCGTCGCCGCGACGTCAAAGTCACCACATGCGGCGTACACCCGCAGGAGAATATTGCAATTTAAAACTAGCGCCGTAGTGAAAGGTTCTTTGCTACCTAACTTGTGTTTCTTATTAATATTTGTATTTTATCACAATAACGATAAGAATAAAATAGTGTTCCATTTTATTGTTAGAATAGAAACACATTTTTTCAAACAGTGTAAAATATAGTAAGTGCGCCTCCGGGTGTACCGATACTATGTTAGCGTTACTGTTGTCGAGCATGTGGAATGAACTTTGACTATTATAAAAGTGATAGGCTGACAAATCCAAAGGAAATATTTCTACTTCAGTTTGTAAGTCTGCTGTTGTATTGGATGTCTTCTGTTATAGGGAAGGATTCCCCTTAATTGCCACGCTTCGCTGGTGGACTGGCGACAATAGTACTTCTCTTGCACAGACGCTCGTTGGCGTCGACGTCGACGGTCTGGGTAGTTCCTACTTGGTGTAAATGGATCGCCACATATTGGAGATTTATATAGCGATATATTGCAGTATCCAGAAAGATTTCACAAAAGCCCAATTTCCAATTTCAAAAATGCTGACCTTGCCATGCTTGGCAGCAGAGTTGGCAACCGCAGTTTTTTTATAATTTTGAGTTGTTATCTGGAATCTGCTCATCTCCTGTTTCAATTTCTCTCTGTCGCTTTTTACGACAAGCGCGAGACGAATGAAGAGTGAAGTAATTAAAAAAAATCAGGGTGTTAATATGAATATATTATTGTTTCTATTTTAATAACATTGATGAGCTAGAATCTTTTAACACAAATACAAAATACAAACTTTATCACAAGAGTAGTTGACATGTTCATGTCATGTTCATTGATACACTAATAATTGTAATCTGTAGAAACGAAATTCATATTTAAAAATCCTATAGAAATTGTATAGGAATGCCGGTAAAAGACGTCATCGATTCTGCTACTCAAATTGGTATATTATTTTAAACAATAAATAAATTGACAAAGAAAACTGACCATTTTTGAGTCAAGTAGGTAAATCAAATTAGGTGATATAGTATAATTTTGCCGTGTCGCGGAATAAGGTAACCAACCAGCTCAAATTATTCCGTGGGAGTCCTTAGAGGCGGCAGAGGGCAACTGCAGCAGGAGATGGGCAGCAGCATCTTGCTGATAACAACTTAAAAAAAGCGTTCTAGGTGCGACCCGAAAGGTCCACACGACTAACTTCCCAGTGGTAATAAAAAAATATGTTTTTATATTTTACAATTACAATTTTTCATTCGGCACAAAATACGACTTGACCGAGTTTGTTCAAAATTTAATGAGGTCTAAGTTACATAATTGTGCGTTAAATGAAACTGATCCCATGTCAATATCCACTCTTTGTTCTCGAGATACACGAGGCGAAAATTGAATCCGAACATACATACATACATACGTACATGTGCACACACGGACATCCTCTTAAAAACCATACTATTCGACTCTAAATACCTTGAAACGCGGAGATATGTTAAAATTTCCAATTTGCAAAATCGGACCCATTACAATAACTTCCCACTGGGAAGAGAATTGTGAAGAGAACTGTGATCGTCAACTCGTGCGTAGCGTGGTAACCTCGGCGAATATCTACCGTTATGACTCATAGGGTAATCTATAGGAGTAGGCAGGCCTCCCCTTTCGCTTTCCCGTTCACCGTAAAATGAACCGTAATGAATGCATGTAGTTATTTATTAATGATGTCGGCAACTACTCAATTGTATTATTAGAATTAAGTGCAAAGTGCTGTTAGTTGGTAACTAACGTTTTTGTTTGTTTTTAAATTTTAATAAAATACGATTTGATTAACTGATGAATAGTTTTATTAGCCTTATCCCTGCAACACTACATGTCTGTGGATTAGCCTGTGGATGCGGCTTTGTGTGGCGTAAGGTTCGAATTCTACAAGTCTTTGTTAGGCGTATACAAAATATTTGGGGGTCGGATGTTCGTTCTTGTGCATTTTATATATGTAAACGCTGACACGGAATAATGTCCTAGTGTTTTTTTTTAAATAAGGGTGACAAACGAGCACACAGTCCACCTGATGATAATTGGATGCTGTCGCCCATAGACATAAATTTATCCTCGATTAAGAATAAAAACGTAGATGCGTTGTCACCCCAGAGGACAAAGATAGAATGCCTCTTTTCCAGTAAAAAGGGGTCTCCGGATCTTCGTGCAACAACCATAATATAGCTGCAGCGTGACTCTATCACGTATAAAGTGGTGGGGTTTATCGTTTTTAAAGAAAGAAAATTCCATCATAACCACTCTTGGCAGGCAGATTCGTCGTCTAAGTTTTACCTTCGATGCTGCTTAGTGTCGCTGGTCCAGATATATAAATTATGAAAAGTTATAAATGATCATACCGGAATCTATAGGTCTTGTAATATCTGTAGGTAATAATCTGTAGGTACTTGTAATAAATATTTTTTAATGATTTATTATATTTACGCGAACAATACACATTAAATGAGACTAGTATTTTTATGGTTTTCATCGTGTATAATTAACTTTACTAATTACCAGACTGCCCTAGAAGGAGGGTTATGTTTTTCAAGTGTCTTATTTCTTTGGCACGCTCTGTAGCCTAAATGACTTGATGGATGTTAACGTTAGTGTTGCAAAAGTGAAAAATAAAAAATCGGTAGATTTGCTGGCTAAAAATCGAGAGAAATCCAGAGATTTTTATTTGCATCCATCTATTTAGAAATATATCATAAAACAGGTTCTTTTAGATATCGTCCTTTCTCGTTTCAAAATTTTTTGCAATCAAAATAATGTCTTTTTAATTTAAACTAAATTTTAAGAATTATATACATACTTATCTTTGCATTAGGCTTTACGAGTATCTTTAGTAAACAACTAAAGTATAGAATAAAGCAAGAGTATTTTAAGATAATATGATACAATAATTTACTTAATTTATAATATTTACAATAATCTATTCAATAACCAAACTTAATAAATAAAAATAACATTTATCATTAATTTTCGTCTTTATACCACCTTTTACTACCTATTTTTGTAAACGTTTCTCGTCTATATTAAAATTGTAGCAACTTTAATTATTTTCACCTATACATTTTTTTGTGTGTAGAAGACCTATTATTGAATCAGTGAAAAGTTGTTTAGTTTTGATAAGATTGATGGATTTGAATACATCATGTTTGGAAAAAGTGGATTTGTTCAGAAATTAATGTTTTATCCGTAAGCCAAGTGTTAATGGCATTTGCTCCGTTATAGACATTTTTAATATTTACAAAATTATGTGCGTTTTTATAGTCGACATTTTCGAGATTGTTTTTTTCTAAATATTTTGCGCTTTTTTTTAAACAATTAGATCATTCTGGTTGTAATTTCCGTTACTTTTTATAGTTCATTAATAAAGGGATGGGATTAATTTAACTCCAGCGCTAGTACTTGGTTGATTATCAGTCATTATCAGATTGAATATCATAAAGCACAACAACACTATATATACTCGACTTAGGCTATCTAGTTCGAGATTTCGAGAAACGACCTGAATAAAGTTATCTTTAGGGATTTCCCCTGTACACTCACCAGACAAAAATGAACTCTAGTTTATGATGTTTCAGTGCAATATTCATTAAACATACGGCGAAGGACGTGGTGCGAGCAATTTTGGAAAGTCCCTGTACATAGATTTTGTGTTAAAGGTTCGTTTTAGTGTTGCCGTTTTTAGAATATTATTTTCCAATTTTATTTATGAATATTGTTTTAAATTAGTTGAAAATGCAAAAAAAATCGGGAGTCACTGTCGCTAAATTGGGATATCGGGAAACAATCACCAAAATCAGTAGATCTCCCTATAAATCGGGAACTTTTGCAACATAAATGGAGTGTCATCAGAATCGTCTTAGTTGTAAAAATGACGGGATATAAAACTTTCAGAAAACTTTTTTATGAAGTTTTGAACTTTTTTTAAATTTATATATCATTTCAAAGTTGAATACAAAAACATAAGTAAAATAGCATCTATAACATACGTTTGTATATATAATCCTATCATGCTAACTCATGGAGAATCGGAGCACCGAGAAGTCTGCAATCTGTAAACATGTTCGTGAACCTGTATTAATAAACCTGATTTAATTGACCGTTAATCCTCGCAAAAGAACGCCGATTCCTACTGATACGCAAATTGACATTAGTAGATAAATGAAATTTTGATTGTTAAGTAATGAAATTTTGATTGAGAAGATGGCTGAGTGCTATCTTCTGCTTGGGATCCTATAATTTATAAAATGAATTTCAAGATTTTTTCTGCTTAGATCGGACCAAAATTAATAATTTTACACTGAAGGTAGCCCTGGATAACAATGTTTTTTTATAAATCCAAAGTGACAAACGAACTAACAGTCCACCTGATTGTAAGTAGCTCCTGCATTCCATATACACATTCCGTCAACTTCCTACAATGACATGACATGGGGGGACGTTGAACAACTCAGTTCCCCGTGGCCATGGGTGCTTCAAAGTACTTAGAAAGTCGGAAATATGAAAATAAATTAACGCTTTAAAATTCTTAAAAACTAGTTTCATTCAGTTTTTTGAATTCATATTTAAACATTTATCCAGGTTTCTAATGCATAACTTATGTCAAAACAAAAGGTTAAATTAAAAAAAATTTGTACGACCGACTTCAATATAAACGAGATTGATCAAGGTACTTATTCGAAGTTAATTACATACTCATTATAAGGATAACTCTAAAAGAACTGGTCAAATCATGATCAAATTTATATGGGAGCATACGAGAAGCGTTTTCAAGTAAAGAAAGAATCATCAAAATCGGTTG